CTATCACCAAGCTGCTGTGACTGCAAGTAGGGCCCAGACAAACCTTTTGCCTTTCTCATTCGAACCTGAAGAGCTTGTTGGTCTTGAAGCTTTTGAGAGGGAGAAGCTTGAAGCGGTGAAGCAGAGCCCAAAGGGCCGTGAAGTCATAGGAGATCGCCTTGGACTTATCCCCAAAAAGCTTGCCCCAAAAGAATGGACTCCAAAGCCACTGTTTGCAGGTTTTGCCTCGCTCTTTCAGGGTGACCATCTTGGGGTTGAGTTTGCTTTGTGTGCCCACCAGCAGCTGCTTGAGGATGCTTGTCTCTTGCGTGATGGTCAGCAGGTAAAGGGGTCATGCCCTTTCCCAAAAGGCCCGGTGTACTCTGGTTTGGTCATTGATGACTTTTTCCTGATCAGCCGGGAGGGTGCCAAGAAACCAAAACATGACACGTCAGCTTTTCATGCTTTGGCCGCCGCCAGGAGAACATATGAAGCTGAGGGTCTGATCGGATCCACTGAAAAGGACATTGAGGCTGCTAGTGTCTTCAAAGCGGCCGGGGCTGAGTTTGTCTCTGATGAACATACGGTGCAATCAGGTTGTGTCACGGTTGGTGCCCCTCGAGCAAAACGCCTTGCCTTAGCCGCGCTGTCCCTCCGAGCCGCCAGACTCCCTGGACTTTCTCCTCAGCTTGCATCTCGCCTTGCTGGAAACTGGTCGTCTGTGTTGCTGTACCGGCGGTGTCTCCCGAGCGTTGTTGATGGACTGTTTGCCCTGGGGGTTTCTGAGTCCTGTGCTGGAACGTCTGTTGTGCCGCTGCCCAGAAGAATTGCCAGGGAACTCGTTTTGCTTGCAATCATGTCTCCTCTGACCTGTTCAAATGTCGCAGTGAGCTACGTTGGCACCTTGTTTGCTTCTGACGCGTCTTTGTCGAAGGGAGCCTTTGTTGCGGCTGAAGTTGGTGCTGACAGGGTCGAAGAGCTTTGGCTTGACACTGAAAAGAAGGGATCCTATGCTCTCCTTGACTGCGGTTTCAAAGAGATGCTTAAGCATGTTGGCGAATATGAGGGTGAGGAGCAGGTGCCTGCGCCTCTCATCAGGCCAAAAGCCTCACCCCTCTTGTACTATGATTTCGTTGAGATCTGTGGAGGGGTTGGAGCTGTCAGTGCGGCTGCCTGTGAGCTTGGTCTTGTTTGTGCTCCACCCTTGGATCTTTCGGCTTCTGAGCACTACGACCTTGGGGACCTTCGCTTGCTGGAATGGGTCATATACATGGTTGAAGAAAACAGGTTTAGGTCGTTTTTGCTTGAACCGCCTTGCACAACCTTTTCACCGGCAGCTCACCCATGCTTGCGCAGTTACGTTGAGCCTTATGGATTTGACAGGATGCACCCTAGGGTCATGCATGGCAACTGTCTCTCTTTCAGGTCCCTTGTCCTCATGCGTGTTGGCCGTCGATGTGCGAGACCATGTGGCCTTGAGCAACCCCGCCGGTCAAAGATGGCTTGGCTTGATGAATGGATTTCCCTGGTCCAGTCTGGTGATTTTGAAGAGGCGATCATCGCTGCATGTCGCTTCAACTCCCCTCACCAGAAAGAGTTCCGTTTCTTGTTGCACCGCGTGTCAGCAGAGCTCCTTGAGGCTAGGTGTACCCGAGACCATGCTCATGTACGCATTCAGGGGAAGTTCACGAAGGACTCTGCCATATATACCCCTGAACTTGGACTTCACCTTGCTTTGGCTTTCCGGGCTGCCTTGAGGACTGTTGTTGTCTTGGCTGAATCCGACATGTCTTGCGAGGGCCTTGAGTCTGTTGTCACAAATGACATCATGTGCACATCGGTGTGGCAGGAAGCCCGAAGTTGGTTTTGGAAAAGACCTCGCCACATCAACGCTTTGGAGGTGTCTGCTGGAGTTGCTGTGCTGAATGAGGTTGGTCCAAATGCCCCACACTCCCGGGTTGTGTCATGTTTGGACTCTGCCGTTGCTCGGGGGGCCTTGTCAAAGGGTCGCTCCACATCAACCCTTCTTCAGCCCCTCCTCCGCCGCTCAGCTGTCTTGCAGGTCTGTTTCGATTTGTATCCTGTTTGGCCTTTCTGCCCTACCCGCCACAATGTTGCTGATGACCCGACACGGGACGTCGTTCTCCGTGAGCGTGCTCCTAACAGTGTCACCGCCTGTCATGGGATTGACCTGCGCTTGCTGCATCGGGTAGGCCTTAAGAGATTTGCTGCCAACTGGATTCGGCTCTTCCTGCTTGTTTCGTGCGTTTCTGGGGGAAAAGCTGATGGATGCCATGACCCTTTGGACTTCAACCCGGCCTTCTGGACTTACCCAGTTGCTTTTGGCAGTTTCCATTGTCCTCTTAGGTGTTTTGGTGCCAAGATGTCTCTCCTGGATTTCAGTTTAGCCAAGTGGACTTTCCTGGCTCTTTTTGGGCGTGTCATGAGTTTTGCTCTCACTACCCATCGGCTGCTGGTTGGAGTCCTCTTTTGGCTTTTCATGTTTGCTCTCTTCCGTCGTGGCTGTCAGTTTCGGGTCCTCCGTGTCCTTTTTGGATTTTACGGATGTGTCTGTGTGTCGATGTCCCTTGCACCACCAGGCCCCCGTTTTGTTGGATTTCAGTTCGGCGCGTTTGCCATGGAAGCCTCCTCCGTTGCTGAGAGGCGCAGGGCTGCAATGAGAACTGAGACTGTCCTGAAAGGAGACCGCGTAATACTGGATGCGACGAGAAACAGACGGAAGAAACTTCTGAAGCAATTCCAGGTATGGCTCTGGAGTGAGCGAGGCGTATCTCTGAAGTTTTTGCTGCAAGAGAAGCCGCCCGACCCTGAGAAGATCTCTGAATGGTTGGTCGCTTTTGGGGGAGAGCTTTTCCGTACAGGAAAGGCCTACGGAATCTTCGCCGAGACAATCAACGCAGTTTCCGCAGCCAGACCTGCGATCCGAAAGCAATTAACTTTGGCTTGGGACTACGCCTTCTCCTGGGTTGCTGATGAGCCCTTCCACCACAGACCTGCCATGCCGGCTTCGGTTTTGCTGGCAATTTTAGCAGTCGCTTTGTTTTGGGGATGGGTTGAAGAAGCAGCAATTTTTGGAATGGCTTGGGCTGGACTATTAAGGATCGGGGAGGCCTTACAAGCTCTCCGCTCTGATTTGGTTCTGCCTGAAGACGCAGCCCCAGGAATGACCTACGCACTGCTTCGCATCAGGGAGCCCAAAACTCGAGGACGCCACGCGAAACATCAAGCCGCCAGAATAGACCCAGCAGACATTGTCCAACTACTCCAAATAGCCTTTTCCAAAAAGAGCAGGGAACAAAAACTGTGGCCTCTTTCAGCTGCCACGCTGAGAAAGAGACTGGCTGACCTTCTGAAAGCTATTAAGCTGCCTACGGAGGGGAGTGGATCTCAACACTTCGATCTTTCATCACTCAGACCAGGAGGTGCCTCATGGCTTCTGTCTTGCTGCGAAGACAGCGAAATGGTTCGCCGAAGGGGCCGCTGGGCTACGACGAGAACGATGGAAATCTACCTGCAAGAGGTCCAGTACGTCACTTTCGTTGAGAGGCTACCGGCTGCCACAAAGGAAGTAATTCATACATGTGCCGCTGGTTTCCCAGACCTTTTGAAAAAGGTTCAGTTTTTCACTGATGCTGCCATTCCCAGCAGCACATGGTTCACACTGCTGAGAGATAGACGGAGTTTTGGAACTTAGGGGTTGAGTGGTCAGATGCTGCAGCTTTTGCACATAAAACATGTGTCGCTGCATAGAACAACTTCTATGGCACGGAAAAGTAGCGCATGCAACTTGTCTGCAAGTTGCCAAGTGAATTGTCAGTGCGCTCAAGGACCCCACCCTAATTTTCAATTTTTCCCTTCCCATTTGTCATCTCTCAGCAGGGTCAGATGCTGCAGCTTTTGCACATAAAACATGTGTCGCTGCATAGAACAACTTCTATGGCACGGAAAAGTAGCGCATGCAACTTATATATATATATGTATAGTAGCTATATGTATACATCTTGATTCTGGCAATTTGTCAGGCCACAAAAGCTTCAGCGCATGTCTTGAAGTTGATCGAAGCGGATGCCCCCGCCTGGAACTCAGAAGGCTGGAAACAGCAGATTTGACAACTCTCAGATTTGACAATCTCAATAAAGTCAGAATATTTGACCATATCTCCAATTTTTTTTTTTCGCATTTACAATGTTTTTTCACCAGATTGTTTTCACCGTGATTGTTGGGATGTAGACGTACTTAGATTCTGACTGACCCACAGGAAGCCTACCGTAGGACGCCATGAGGATTGGCCTGCAGATCGCCATGAGAATTGCTGAAAATCGTGTTGTGTCAACGTCACTATAAAAACCATTTGAAAAAATAGGAGATAGGAACTAACAACCATCATTTTCATCGGATAGCCAAGCAATTTCAATTTGGACTTTGGCTATCATTTTTTCAGAGCCACATAATGTCCACGATGTTGGGAATTACCCTTGATGCATCATGGGTTAACAGTGAACATTCATGCGGAGTTGGCCGATTTCCAAGGCGATTAAGAACAAGTCCATGATTCAAGGCTGGGCAGCGCCGGAAAACACGTTGATCTTTTTTTGCTGGATTTTCATGGGATTTCTATCATGATAGTAGGTTGATGGTTTTATGGGGACTGATATTACTATGTATTACCACAATCTTCTCATGATCTACTATGTTTATGATCTTGCTATGATGTTGCTACAAACAATGAGATGATGGCTATAGTGGACTGTCAGACATTTTAAGCTCTACCAGAAACCGGAAATTTCGAGATGCTGTGCTTGAAGATGGGGATTGAATCCTCACAGCCATTTTAAGTGGGAAGGGATGACAAACCTGACAAACCATTGAATTGTGGGGTACTCATATTCTTTTCATACAAACCCATATTACAGGTCCCTCACTTTCCCAACCAATTTTTCCTCTTTTGATCATACTCTCCTAGTCTTGTTGCAGGTCATATCCAGGTGGTGCAAGCCTGTATGAACGTCATGGCCATGCGACCCTTGGCACGAAATGCTGAACGAAATAGGAATGTCATGGAATGTCGAAATGTGTTGCAGAAGTGCTTCAAGAAAAAACTCCTTGTCGTTGGCATCCTTGGTGTCCTGGTTCCGTGAACTGGCAGTACCTGATCCTGATCCAAGGAGACGACAAGCCAATCCAGTGGCTCCTGACGTTGTTCTACGACATGCTTCGAGAAGACAGCAGTAGTCGCTTTGTGTCATGGGTTTCGATGGGTTTCGACCGGTCATCCATGCCTAAAAACTTTTGGCTCCGCGGCCCAGTGGCCTAACGGATGTGGGCCAAGCGAAGCCTGTAGTAAATAAAACGTCTTATGCTTGTTGATGTAAAGGCTTCTTGCTGTAAACACTAGTGTTTGTAAAAGCTGATTGGCATAAAAGCAAAGTTGGATAGAATGGAATGTTGGATAGAATGGAATGGGTATTTAAACTGGGTTGTGCAAGAACTAGTTTGTGTAAAAGCACGTTGGTGTAAAAGCTAATTGGCACAATAGCTTGTTGATGTAATTTAGTTTGTGCAAAACCTGTTTTGTGTAAGAATCTGGTTGTTTTCAAGAGCTAGTCTGTGTAAAAGCTAGTTTGTGCAAAAGCTGGTTGGTATAAAATCATATAAAATCTAGTTTGTGTAACAGCTAGTCCTTTCTTTTTTAGGTGCTTGGAAAACATGCACCGAAAAGTATAGGACAGGCGGCCGTGCCTCAGGTTACGTGATCTTTGAGGAGGCGACCAAACAGAAGATCGAGGCGAGGGATGACCTTTTTTTGGATTTCCCATTTGGGACAACTGGGAGTCTAATGATTTGTTGTCATGATGTTGTCATGGGTGATTTTGAAAAAAAACCAACTGAGTTTTCTGAGGATTCTCAGTTTTTCAGGTTTTAGCGTTTTTGGTTTTATTCTCTGTCAAAGGGCGTTGCCTCCAAGATGTGGATGCAGATGAAGGAAACGTGGTAATTCTCTGGAAACATGTGGGCAAATGGAACCAGAAAACTTCGCCATTTGACCATGAACACAACGATTTTGACACACCCTGAGAAGTGATGTATGCAATTGACATCAGGCGGTTCATGGAGAGAATATGACAAGCACTGATCCGATTCCTAAAATAACAACTATCTCTGTGGTGCAGGTTGCTGTGCCCAACAAAGTTTTGACACATGGCTGATCAGTGGATCCCCAATTGTCAATTCAAAGACAGGGATTACATTCAAAATGCATCCGGCTGATCGATCCCCAATTTCCTGTGCCCTTGCCTGGAAGCCGCTTCCCTTCGAGGTCTACAAACCTCTCATGACTTTGCTGTTGCGGCCTGGTTTGGACAACTACACGGCGGACAAGGTGCGCTTCGTTGGGAAGATGTTCACACGATCAGAAAGTTTCTGGATATCTCAGACGGATCTGGGATTTAGGGGAAAAGTTGCAGGATACTCCACATTTAAATGGTAAGGAACATGGTTTGATGTACAGAAAAACCTTTAAACCAAGAGAGTAAGGATAGAAACCAATGGATCTCTAGCAATGATTCTGAAAGAGATGAACCCCTTCCTGTCCATGTTGGGAAACCTAGGGGACTACTGATGTGGGGCATCCCCCAGTCTTTGTGGCAGCCGTGGCAGGTGAGTTGGCTGCTTTCGGCAGTGATCAGCCATGTTCCTGCGGTGGTTGCCAAGGCTGCACACCTAATTTGGCGGATCCATAGGCTGTGGTAGTTGTCAATGCCTGGTGAGTCTTTGTTGGTGGCTTTGACTTTTATCTGAATCCTAAAGATGTTGTTTTGTGTTGTTTTTGTTCCCCTTCACTTCTTCTCGCTAGTGAGACAATTTACAGGGGCTTGCAGGTTCGCGGTCTCATCTATTTGTTCTTTTAACCATTTTTTTGATGATTCCTAAGGAGGAGCATGTATATCACAATATGGGGGTTTCCAGAAATGGGGATACCCCAAGTTTTTTCTGGTTTATAATGGAAAATCCCATTCAAATGGATGATTTAGGGGTACCTCCATATACCGGGAAATGCCCATATATCCCATATATCCCCATGAAATATACCCATATACCGGGTGGCTCCATCGCGACGAGGCCAATGTGCAGGAGTTCCTCAACGTGATTATGGATTCCGCCAAGACGAACTGTTCAGAACTGGGACAGCTGGAGGTGCCTGTTTCATCGTTATAACATGAGTCATTGTCATCAATCGAATACTGAATATACTGAATAGATTCAAGATGATTCAAGATGATTCAAAACTATCTGTTTCGGATTCTGAAGAGAAAACCAGCAGTTTTTGAGACGGCATGGTAAAAACACATCGATTGCCCTGGAGGCGATCACCAATTTGCTGAAGTCCGATGCATACAGAAAGTTCACGTGGTCTCAACCAGGCACCACTGCTACCATCCCCGAAAGTGATGGAAATGGATGCTATGACCCAGCAATTTTTTGCTGGCAGGTGAATCCCACATGATTCAGCTGTCGAAACCAGTGCGAAATGATAAATCCTGATCTCGCATGCCTCCTGTCAGGAATTTCCGAGCTCATCTTCAGGCGACGCAAGAGCACATGCCAAGTTGTGAACTGCAGCCAGCGTCATGTCACGGCCAGGATACAGCCAAAGACAGCACCATCACCGCACTTGTACAAGCACCTTGGCTGGCCGCCAGTGTTTGATGAGAGTGGCACGGCTTTCCAAGCCTCAAACGAGCCAAATTACGAAGAGCAATCGACAAAAAATCATAACGGGGTAAACAAAATGCCACCATCCCCAAGTCATCACCATTTTTGATGGGTGGATATGGGTGGTATGTTTACCATCCCTGATCATGGTAGTGACTTAGTTGTTCATGGTAGCCAGGGTGAATCCAACGTTGGAAGAGTCACTCTTTCGCCGATCCAAGGTGCATCTTTGCAATCTGGGCACTGCGACTTGCCTTATGAGTTGCATGTCACGTCACGAGTGCAGAGTGCTAGCGGTGATGGCTGAGGTCCTTTGATCAAGAGATCACAGCTTCATTGAAGGAGCATGGCTGAGCAAAACCCTTCTGACCCTTTTTTTGGCAAGATGTTTTCGAGCCAAAACACACCTATATCAATGCGAGGGTGAAGAACATATACAAAAAGGCAGGGAACAACAAAAAGCCATAAAAAGCCAAAAAAAACAATCTAGCCCCCATCTCATCACCCCATCTTCAGTTGAGTTTTGGATGTTTTGGTCAGGAGATGCATGTCATCAAGAAGTTGAGAGAAGCTTTGACCTACAGCCGGGTTGAGAAGGTGCGGATTCCGTGCGGATTCCGTGCGGATCTGGTGCATCTCCAGAGACCTGCGACCTGCGGCGCCTGCGGCGCAGGTGATTCGCTTGTGCCTCACCCTGTTGAAGAACTTCCTGGGTAGCTGGCTCAGCTGAATCACAGGATTTTGATTCGCACATGGAATCAATGGAATCAATGGAATCCCCCCAAAATGGCTAGGATTTGCATCTCCCAAAGCCATATTTTTGCGGGGTCCATGGTTTTTTTTGACTGAAAATGACTCATAATCTGCGACGTTTGTGCCACAGAATTGTTCTATTTGATTCTGTTTCGTCTTCTTCTTTTCTTGCACCTGCAGTGTGGTTGCATACCCAGGCAACAAGAGCCTTTGTGAGGATATTGTCGAGGAAGGAATTTTGGAGGCATGGAACTACTTGAGATGTCTAACCCAAAAGTCCCATGGTTGATCTTTTCTAAAATCAACATATCTTCATAAATGGTCATACTATGTCAGACGTGCATCCTGTCCGTCTTGTCTCTAATTTTTTGAGCGCGTTCCGCAGATTTTGATCACCACAGGCAGTTCAGCAACTGGAGTTCGAGAAGTGGCGGGATGCCGAACTCTATGAAGATATCAAGGCCAGTCGCAAGCGACGCAAGCGCGAACAAAGTGGTGGATGAATCGAAAAAAAATCGGAGCCATGAAAATCTCCTTGGAGTTAGTCCAGAAATGGTGGATGATGTGGATGCCCAAAAAAGTGGCTCTTTTTTTGTTGGAGGGGAAACTGATGATAAGATGATGGATTTTGAGGTTACCGAGATTGAGATGATTATATGTATATATGATATATGTATAAATATGTATATGTACATGCACATGATAAAGGCATTTCAGATCGTGCGCACTTCGCCTTCAGTGCAGGATATGGCGATTCAAATTGGATCAGAGGCCAAGATCGATGATGGTATCGGAACATGTGGAATGTGGCACTCAAGCTGGACTAAAATGATCTAAATTGGATGTTTTGAAAACAGGGAAGTCCCCCAAACAGTGGCAAGGTTTTGAATATTCATAAATGCTTCCCGCCAGAATATAACAAACCTTTGTTTCCATCCTGAGGTAACCTCAGTCCCGGTGACGAGTCGCCCGTTTGGACATTGTTAGGTGAGTGAGATGAGCAACTACGAGCGCTACGAGCGAGAGTTGCAAACGGGAAAACTTCAGTGGGGTGATCTCCTTGGTTTTTGACAGAAAAGCATGCACCTGTTGTTGTTGTTGTTCGAATTTGGGAAAATACATAGGTCACCAACTTGTCTCAAGTTGCTGGTCTTCGCGTTCGGCTTTGTCAGTGAATGTCAGTGATATTTTTTTGTGGCCTCAGGTTTCATCCATTCCAGTAAGTTCTGGGCCGAGAATGTGATGAAGTGCCTTAGCAAATGGACTTGCGAGATCTCGTGGGCTTGCGAGGACATCAAGGATGCAATGGGTTGAAACATGTTAAACCTACGACCGTAAAGTTGAGGGAATGAACACCCATCTTTTCTATACTAGCTAGTTTGATGTGAATTACGGGTACCACGGTTTTGAGGTGTACACATATTTGTATTGACCAAATTTTCCAAACTTGATCTCAATCAAGAATGACGAAAAAATCACGTTGTGACCCGGCATGTGAATCGCTGTCGCCCAAGGTTTGAATCCAATGACTTTCGGGCCAGATCCTTGCATTTTTGCTGCCGTTGGTGTTCAGAAGCTTGCCAAAGTTCCCTTTGATATTGACAAAGACCACTAGCCACAAGGGGGCCTTGGTTAATAATTTCTTCTGTTTTCCGATGTTTTTGTGTCCCCCATTTTTTCAAGGTGAGGCCCGCCTAGTTCTGTTTGTTGGTTTAGTTTCACCCGGTGAAGGGTAAACCTCCACACTGATCAATATCTCATGGATCAATAACACCTATGCAAAGAACCGTTCCCAAAAAGCACCAACAGTAGCCTCATATGACCCCCAATATAATCCATGAAATTTCCATGTTGCTGGTCATACTGGTCATATCCTCATAGTAATCCCATATTATCCCGAGAATTCCGGGGTCCAGCCTTTTTCGACCCCCTTTTTTGGCCACGCTGAGGCCTTGAAGATGTTGGCCTCGTTGCTGCAGAGTCCTTCCACGGATGACACCACCCTGGCTGTGGCCTGTAAGCTTCACCCAGAGGGAATCATGGGAATGGCACTTCGGATATCGAGAGTTGGGCATTTGGGGGATCTATATATACATAGAAAAAGATAGATAAGGATAGATAAAGATAGATAGAGACAGATAAAGAAAAGAAAAGAAAAGGAAAGGAAAGAAAGAACAAAAGAACGATAGAAGGATAGAACGATAGAACAATAGAATGATAGAACAATAAAACAATAGAGCGATAGAACGAAATATAGATAGATAAATAGGTAGATAGATAGATAGATTGATAGATAGATAGATAGAGATAGATAGAGATAGATAGAGATAGATAGAGATAGATAGAGATAGATAGAGATAGACAGAGATAGACAGAGATAGACAGAGATAGACAGAGATAGACAGAGATAGACAGAGATAGACAGAGATAGACAGAGATAGACAGAGATAGACAGAGATAGACAGAGATAGACAGAGATAGACAGAGATAGACAGAGATAGACAGAGATAGACAGAGACAGACAGAGACAGACAGAGACAGACAGAGACAGACAGAGACAGACAGAGACAGACAGAGACAGACAGAGACAGACAGAGACAGACAGAGACAAACAGAGACAGACAGAGACAGACAGAGACAGACAGAGACAGACAGAGACAGACAGAGACAGACAGAGACAGACAGAGACAGACAGAGACAGACAGAGACAGACAGAGACAGACAGAGACAGACAGACAGACAGATAGACAGATAGACAGACAGACAGACAGACAGACAGATAGATAGATAGATAGATAGTCAGATACATATGTATATATATATAGCTAGATAGATAAAGATATAGATAGATAGAGAGATAGAGATAGATAGAGAGATAGAGAGGTGGAGAGATGGAGAGATGGATGGATGGATGGATGGATGGATAGATAGATAGATAGATAGATGGATAGATAGATAGATAGATAGATAGATGTACATGACTTTGATGTATAGTTGTGATGGTTTGGGATATTTGTGGTTTCAGACAGGATTTTTACAGGTGATTGTTGGGGATAGTTGGGAATTGTTTTCAATAGAACTGCATTAGTAATAGCGATAATGAGAATAGGATTATAGTTGTGCTGATAGTTGGCAACATGTTTGGACATTCTTTTGGTGATCTAAACATGTGATGAATGGTGATGCTGGCAAAACATGTGCCAAATCTAAACAAGAAACATGGTTCCACCACTCGGTAGATTCGTATGGGGAACTGATTTTCGCTGCCGAGCTGCGAGGCCATGACATTGGCGAGTTCGTGACTCTTCATCCTCTAGGAAAAAAGAAGGTACGACTGGCAGGGCGGCTGCGAAGATTGGCTAAGATTGGAGCCATGAGGGTCCCCCAGACCTCCCATGAAGCCACATTTCTGTGCTGAAGTCTGAAATTGAGCGCTGATTCTTGGTTTCTTGTTTTTTTTCTGGATATTTTGCAATTTTTTGTTTGCCCTTACATAATCGTTCGAATTCTTGCTTGCTGTCCATTCCCAATTTGGACAGATTCACCTCAGTACGACAACCGATATTCATATTCTGCGCACAGATGGCTCATATGGCTCAGCCGCCACCGAATATTTTTTCGGGTCCCTGTGTCAATCCGCTGTGTTGTGTATTGGCTTTCCAACCATCGTTTTATAGATATTAAACGATGCAGAAGCAGAACAGCAGATACAACAATCACTCAAAGTACTTTTTTTTTATCCCCAGAGTTTTTTTCAATCTATCTATATTTATCTTCCCACTTTATTTGGCTACCCCCATCTTGTGCTTTTGAAGTGCGGAGAAACTGCAGGTCGCCCAGTTGCAGGTGAAGGAAAAGGTGGCACGCTCAGTGCATTTGGAAGTTTCCATAGTCAGGGGGTACCCCCAAGCTTGCTGGATGGTTTATTTATGTTTATTTCATGGAAAATCCGAAAATCAAAGGATGATTACTGGGGTCCCGCCATGACTCGGGAAGCCTCCATTTATCATTTGGGATGAGATGAATCTATGGTTCTAAATCCGGGATGGTTTATGGCATTGGCTTATTGGCTTTACCACTTTAGCTTGACTCGCGGATTCGTTTTGCTGAGATTCGCATCTATTTAGAGAAATCAGAGTCGTTTCCCCATTTTCCATGAGTTCATGGCTAAAACCTGGATTTTCCACCGGGTTTTCTTCGGTTTTTCTAAGGATTCTAAGGCGTTACCGTCGCTGATTCCAAGGTCATGGAGCTCATGGCAGCTCCAGAGCAGAAGTCTCGTGAGGTGCGACGCGAGGCGCTGCTCTGCTGTCAGAGGCCCAGGAGCTCGGAGCCGCTGACGGCGCCAGCGACGGAGCCGCCTGGGTTTGTCTGGTGGCGAATTTGGGTAAACCAATTGTGGTCAATGATTCAATGATGGTAAAATATGGTAAATATCAATTTCAACATAAAGAAGATACTTTACAGCAATTTAACTGATGGTTAATGATCGTTAATGATGCTTAATGATGCTTAATGATGCTTAATGATGGTTAATAATGATATTTATGATATTGTTTTACCCACATTACCCCCAAAATCCCAGTGAACTGTTTCAGCCTTTGAACCGGGGGAGTGCATCGTTTCGAAGTTGAGCCCAAGAATACCAACGGAGCCACGACACACTGGAACTCTGGATCTCTGGAAACCAGCATTTTCCCATTGAAACTGCCCCTTTTTGTGGGTACGCCCAAAATTCTCACACACCCAAACTTCTTGAATCAAGTTCAAACATGAGGGGTTTCCAGCCGATTTCGGCTACAGCATATAACTAGCCCTTGTGGCTCTTGGGCTCGGGCAGCGCTTTGAGGTCAAAAGATCATGTTGAACAAATGGCAGGACCACCGGGCGCAGAGTTGTGCATGTTCTGTTAGTTCAATGTTCATTAAACACATTTAAACACTATGTCTAACTTTCAGTGATTTCGAAATGTTGCCACTGGATTCAGCCATTTTTTCAACTGATTCAGGACATGGAGCAGGCTGGTGCTGTGTCATTGGCAGTCGGAGTATGGGTCAGAATTTAGGACTCTTGAAGCAACATATACAGGCCGGATAGCCCATTTTGAGTATTGAAAACAATAGTTAAATTTTATCAGGACACCCAATTCAGGAATCCATAAACCAAGCAGATGAGGACAGTGAATCATGTTTTTCTAATTCTTGAGGTGTCTCTGCAAGTTGACCAGGTTCCAAAATGAGTTCGCTCGGTTTCGTGAGCTCCTCAGAATGCTGCTGTCAAGTGTTCGCGAAGACCATGTGTTCTAAGAAAAAAAACAAGTATGGCAATCAGAAATAGAACATGGAGAATCAGAGGCAGAAATGGCAATGGGTGATGATCTAAATCAAGGTAACCGTCGTTAACCATCATTAACCATCATTACTTCAACGGGACTGCCATTGTTTTTGCGACTTTCCCATGGCGCCATCAAGTTTGCTGACCCTTTATCCCAGGTCTGAACTGGATCCGGTCTGATGGGCGTAGAGTGAGGGCTGAGGGCGTGGATTCTGTGTCTAACTGGAGCAGTTCAAAATGTGTAAAGTATCTTCTTTATGTTGAAGTCAATATTTCCAAAAGTCCCAAAGTGAGCTAAACTTGATTAAACTTGCATAATTGCAACTTATGGGTTTATGTGACCTTCAATTTCGTCATTGAAAGATATTGAAAGATATTGAAAGTCAACATTTCTTTACAACATGGATCATATGGATCATATCAATGATTGATAGTCCATGACAACCCCCCCAAATTAGACTGGCGAGCTGTCGTTTCTGTCGTGAAACAGGCGTCGTTCTGTAGGGATGGACCTCCGTGGGCTGTCCAACGATCATGGAAAGCAACATATTAGGGTTTCTTTGAAAAGAAAATGGATTTTGGTATCCCTATATTTTCAGATTGTGATGTACTTTACGATCATCATGGAAAATACGAAAAAGGGATCTATAGGGTATGCATGGTATGCCGCCATCACCAGAGCAACCAGACATTTCCAAGTGTTGGAGCAGCCTGCTGTGGAGCTGGACCGTCGGTGACCGTGGTGTTTGCATAGCTCTGCAACATCACCCGGAGCAGTTCAGAGCTAAAAGACTGGTTCTTTAGCGGAATGATGGGAGGATTGGGGTAACACTCCAGAGGTCAGAGAAATATGATAAATAATTTACTCAGCACTGTGAAATCCTTTTGGAATCCGCTTGACATCCAAATTCTCTTCTCGGTGGCTGGAGTTTTTTGCTGACGGCCACGTGGGGAGAACGAGTTGCGTGGACATGGCGGACAGGTGGGGATGGGACGGATGGGATGTGGCCATGGGGGAGTTGCATAGCTAATCCCTGGGTTTTAAATTGGTAAAATGATTCTTGTGGTCAGGAAAGTATCATAGTATATCAATGTATATCATATTGAATCATGTATCTAATAATTACGTATATATCATATATATCTTTTTTGGGCAAACTTATGTGGATAAGAGATGTTTGAACACCGGTCAGCGTTGGTCGTCCCAGTAGCACACATGAATATATGGCAAACCCAAAAAAGATAGAAAAACAAAATCCCAACTAAGATAGTGGTAAAGTACTTTTCTATCTTTTTTGGGGTTACTACTACTATATATATATATACATGTATGTGTAATATGTGTATATATATATATATACATACACTCATAGATACTACTTATATACATACTTGTATACATACTTATATATATATATATATGTTGTAAATGGGATATCACCCAAACCAGAAACTGAAAGTAGTAGTCCCTGCCACTGACAACCAAAGAAACTGCGGCCTCGCAGAATCCCTTTTGCACCTCTTGCACCAAGCAGACACCGCTGCTAGATCCGGCCGTCCACGGCCACTGCAAGCCCAGCCGAATGGCTTCAAGGATGTTAAACCCTCCCACCTCTGCGCCTAAATGGGCATCCTGAGCCCAGAAATCCTGCGGTGTTGGTACCGCTCGAAGACTGGCCTGGAAGAGACCCGGGCATATGCTGGCGAAATGAGTGGATTCACATTCCCAACATTTCAATTTTTTTTTTTGAAAGTTCAGCTCATTTCGCTGGCAGACAATCGAAGCCACTTCAGTCGATTTCGTGCATTTGCACGACTTTTGAGGACCTCGTTCGCATCATGCAAGCAGTAATGGCCTTGGCGTAACGTTTCTCTCAAAAACTGTCCCTCCATGACCTTGGTCAACGCATCTGCTAATTGTGCTCCAGAGTGAACCCAGTGTAAGCATATGTTTTCAGTGAGGATATCCTTAATGGAACGAGCTAGCAGTTGTGTTCTGAACTCCTGGCAATTTGGGACTGCTGTTCGAGTTGTGAGATCATACAAACTTTTACAATCGGTGATTGCGAGATCCTTTTCATCAACCTTTATTGTTGGGACTGTCAAGGCTTCAGGCAAGGTTTTCACGGTCTCTGGCTTCTGCCATGGAATTTTTGGGTCAATGAGCCAAGCCCAGTACACTCGAATCCACGTCAGCTGATCCAGCGTCGTTGACAGGGCCGTCGCTTCCGCTGAAAGGGTGCTTGTCACCACACGCTGAATTTTCTTTGTGCCCCATGACAAAGGACTGATGATACAAGATTTGTTCCGTGAGATCTCTTTGTGGGTTGCCAAAATGATCATCCCTGAGTATGATTCGGGTTTTGTTTTGGATGCAAAAGATGCATCAGAGAAAGCCAAAAACCTTAAATCATTGATTGCGATAGGATTAATTTTGATGGTGACGTCATGGTGTTTCTTTGCAACGTGTAAAGTCTTATTGGCCATTATGAGTGTCATGACAGTTGCTGCGTTTATTTGAGATTGAAGTTGACTTAGTGAACTTGTAAGGTCTGGACGGGTATGGACGGCTGCGTACTGCAAAGATCCTATGAGGCCACGCAAAAGATGTCGCTCTTCTTCGGTCACTGGCTCATTTTCTTGGGCTCTGCGTTCGGCTTTGAGGTTGATTGGATTGATATTTCGTACATAGGTGGATTGGGAAAGTTCTATGCTATTGTCTGAATTTTGTTTCATGTCGATTCCTGTGAAAGTGAAAACTTTTGACTTTTTGGATCCGAACGGGTATTTTGATTCTAGTTTCGCTATTTGGTCTTGGAAATATTTGTCACCCCCGTAAATCCCATCATCAACATGGATGCCCAAAACTCCTGACAATTGTTGGCTTTGTGGATGTCGAAGGACAAAAACACATGGATCAAACGGACATGGTGTGAACCCCAGGCTGGTCAGCTCCTCTTGGAGTGTCTGGAACCATAGGAACGGTGCGTCGATCAAACCATATGCCGATTTATCGAGTTTGCATATTTCCCCAGGCTTCAAGTTCATGGCTGTTGCTAATTCAACAACGGGGTCAAGTCCAATCACTCTGTCCTTCTGCGGTTTTCCTTGCAAAAACGCTGCTTTGATATCAAACGATCCTAACGACCATCCCATGGATGAGATTAATTGCAACAGGATCATCTTTGATTGCTTTCCAAGTGTTGGGCTGTCCCGAGGAACCTCTGTGAGTTGGGGGTCCATATATCCCAAAACTACCAATCTCGCTTTTGGTTTGTGTGTCTGTAGTTTGGTTTTTGAGTTTGACATGTCCTTTCCAGTTTCATCCAATGGCTTCCAGGTTAAAATCCATCGGCATCGTAGGATCTGCTCTGGGGCCAGTTTTGCCCGTAGAATTTTTGACACTGTGCCTGTTTTCAGCCAGTTTTGCACCTCGGTGGTTTTTGCTTGAGCAAAGGCCTGTTGTTCTTCTTTCGAAAGCATTGATAGTTTTACCTCAGTCCGCTGTTTCTTTTCTGTGGTTGCTATCAATAGATCATCAGGGGACCATTGTGAAAAGCTTTCTGGTTCAATCCACCCAGGGGCTTCTAGCTCGCATTTCCAGGCGCACGGTGTCTCAGCCGGATCAACATGCATGATTTCATCTTCACAACATAGAAGGTGTGTAGTGATGAGGCTGTCATCATCCTCATCACTTGCTGTATCCGGTACCGGTACTTCTACGGCAGGGTCATTTCCATGGGCTGAGATTGACTCAGGTGGCGAGTGACTTGCTTCGGGTTCATTATCAGGCTGATCCTGAGACTGACTTTGATTATCTTGGTTATTGGAGGATTCGGGATTATTTTCCGGTTGGTGCAGTCTTGAAAGTACTGGGTTATCTTCATGGGGAATTATGTCAGGTACTTGAAGGGAATTTTGAGTGAGGTTACCGTTCTGGAATTCTTCCTTGGGAATTTGATTAGCTTCACTTGAACATACTGGTCGAACATGTTCAAGGGCCCTGCGATACAGCTTTCCGGCCTGAGTGGCCCATAGGGAGTTTTGACCTTCATGGGCAACAACTTTAAGGGGCCCAAACCAATGACCTCCTTGTGCCTCAGGCTGCCAAAGCATTACCCATTCACCGGCTTCGTACGCATTTCTGTCAGGCCTGGTGCGTCTTAAACGCGCACGCCTGAGTGCCTGATCATTGTCGGCCTGATGGAAGGCTACCCTGGCTTTTTCCCGCAACGCAAGGCTCTGGCGAAATGCAATACCGTGAGCATCATCACGGTCAGCACTGGACAAAGAGGACATTGACTCACAGCTGACTATTGATCCCGGTAGCCTAGAGCTTTTCCCAAACACAAGAACTTCTGGGGAGAAACCTTTTCGGATGCTGAGAGCATTCTTTGCATGTGTGCACTGAACCAAGGCTCTTTGAAGATCCGTGTATGTTTGGATTGGCATATCGTGGTCAATCTTGTTCAGCATCGTTTGTAGAATGTGTCCATGTCTCTCACATCGTCCGTTTTGCCAGTGAGCATGCGGTGCTGCAGTGACTGGTTTCACATCAAACTTCTGCAAAAATTCCATGAAATGTTCGCTTGTGAATTCAGTGCCGGCATCAGTCATTAAAACATTTGGTGGCCCGGCCCATTGAAACCAGTTTTCTGCAACGCATTGTGAAGCTTGCTCAGCAGCACGGCTCGGTGCAGGTGCCGCCACATGATAGTTGGTGGCTTGATCCAACATGTGATAGAAATGAAATGTTTTCCCCAATTTACTGGTCCAGGTTACCCCATCTATGAACACCTTATCATTGAAGTCTAGTTCATGTTTCAAAGTGCTTGGTCGGGCAATCCTCGGCAGCTGTTGGGAGGCGCAGGTTGCGCATTTCATATCAAACACAGCTTGGGTTATTTCAGGACGGGCACCTTCCATCCTTAGCACAGCGCTAAGCTGCTCAGGGCTAGGGTGGCACAGGTTTTGGTGTGCCCGGCGCAGCATGGATTGTTCCTCTCTTGGCAGTGAGAGAAAACGGTTGCTCTTGGCTGATGATACCCCAGGGTCCATTTGGATTTGGGATCCATTCTTGGGAATCTCATTCACGGTTTGTTCACTCATCTCTTCTGGAACTGTGCTTTCAGTGGTTTCCTTGGGACCTTCTGTTCCCCTGCTTGGATCCATGGAACTGAGTGGACTCTCCATCCGGGAGAAGGGCATTTCAGCTGAACCATTGGCCGAAGGGACTCCTGCCTCGGTGCTGCTTGTGCTCTGTGGCACCTGCACGGGATTAGCTGCGAAGACAGTTATATTCACTCGGCACGGCTGCGATTTTCGAATGATACGTCTTTTGGAAAGTTCATCATATTTTTCCCAGTCCTCAGTCATGATTTTCCCTGTGCTTCTTAGTTTCATGATGGCTCTGCGAAAAGGGGCTTCTCTGGCACTTAGATTTTCAGGTGGGGCCATAGTGCGTTCGGTTCCCTTACAAGCCAAAATTGCTTTGATGATCTTTTCCGGGAATAACTCTTGAACCATTTGGAGGATTTTGGGATCATCAATCATCTTCTTTCCTACTCGAGGGAGTATGGGAATGATGATATCCATGATTTTGGTCACTTGGTTGCTGACTGCTTCATGATTTTCATCTTTTGGGTTGGGTATGTTACCTGTGGTCTCTGGTGGTGTCAACCGTTGGCGCTTCATGGTGGGAACAGTACCGAGTGTTCTGTCGGCAGACCTTGTCTTGGCTTGTCGGGGCTCCGACAATTTGGGACGTTTTGTCCTTCGGGTTTCCACGGCGAGTGCACTGCATACGGTGAACCATTGATCTAAGGCTGCTAATGCATGATCTACCAGAGTTCCCACAGGCTTCTCTTTGGGAAACTTTCTTTTGATGATGCATTTGGCGATCATCCGTGCAAACTTCCGTGGATACCTCTCGGAGAACGTGGATCTCGCGATTCCCTGGCCATGCACTCTGGTTGTTCCTTCAATTGGCTGATGGCTATGATCTCCCTGACATCTGAGTGGATCTAAGAGATCGTACATTGTCTTGGATGATGTAAGGATGTGCATTCCTTTCTTCATGAAGTGTCCATTCTCGGGGTCTTGAAGGCTCCCTGCTGTGCACATGTCAGGTCGGGCACTCAACATATATCTCATGAGTTCACTGAGATACGGCAATTTGAACATGAGTGAACCTCCAGGCTGTTCCCAGTGTGCATGGCGGCTGCAACGGTGTTGGTATCGGCAAAGGACCAGGCATAGGGCGACTTGGCAAAGCATGTCTATTCTCTCGGCATGAATGCGATCCCACAGCTCAATTGACTTCTGACTATTAAGGGCGGACCATTTAGACCAAGGTTTGCAAGTTGGACTTACCCAGACATGCTCTGGCCTGTGTCGACAAACTGCATCAAACAGTTTTCTCCTACCCTCAGGCTGTTGCAGATCGCCTTGGCTTAGGCCGAATCGGATGGCTTTGCCACCTAGATGATTGACCTGTTCGGTTAACATGCTTTGATCACTGCAGAAGACCTCAATCAGGTTGACTTTGGAGGCAAATGTGGTCACTCGTTTTTCACTCTGAGCTAGTTCGTTTTCCATCATGGTGACCAGACTGTTGAAATAATCTCGTTCTTGATTACAGCTGCTACTGGAAAACTCATCGATCTCCCCTGCTGTCAAAGCCAAGTTGCAATCTCCAGCATCTGAACCTATGCATTCCACGGATCTTCCCATTCCGAAGCCAGTGGGAGCTCGGGGAGATCCTCGCTCATGGCCGTTGAGCCGATCGTGTTTGGGATCGATGGTGTCAGGTGCACCAGAATCTGATGCAATGCATTCTCGAGATTGGTCATTCTGGCCTCCAAGGCATTCTCCTCCTGATTGATCCATGGTTCCTCTGGGGCTGCATCGGGATGTGGAGGTGGTCCCTCGCGTCGAACTGTGATCAGCGACTTTGGGGCCGCTTTGGCCTTTGTGCGCACGGGGAGCTGGGTTGTACTCGTCCCTTGGGCCTCGCCCTCTTCGATCTTCAGCTTGATGTACCTGATCACTTTCTTGTGCTCCACATTGGAACTTCCCTGGTAATGGACCAGGAACCACTTGATCCACTCCTGTGCCGTCTCCCAAAGCTCGGCATAACTTTTCCCCAGATGGGCCTTCCCAAACTTCACCTTCTCGTTCTGCAAGACTTCGAGGCTCAGATGGTCGACAGATTCCGTTTCTGCCGCAGGCATGTCCGCCTGAAGGCGCTGAAGGCGTTTTGCCCAATCGCTCATGCTGTAGCGACGATCTCTCCGGGTGATCAACGTGGGATCCTGCTTGAGTTTCAGAGCTTCCTGTTTCGGCATTCGATTCTTTGACGTCACAACTTTTTGGTGATTGTGTTGACATGAACATGGATGTGGACGGATTGGTGGTGAAGTCATCATGTTTGTGGTGTGAGCTCGACATGTGATTGACAATTGAACTTGATGGTGAACACTGGCTTTCACCTCTTGCTTCGAATTTCACTGATTTCCCCTGGATACCTGAATGATCATTGGCACTTTCGATGGCTTTGGTTGCGTTACTGACCTTCTTTTCCCAAGATTCCTGTGCGAAAGTCTCGGCATGTTGATGGTCTCCTTTCGGCTGAGGAGGCACCTTGAGCAGCATGTTCATGTCGACTAGATACAAGCCTTTGTTTGACAGCTTCAGTGGAATCTTTTGGCCATGTTTTGGAAGAACCAACTGATTGGAGCTTGTATCTACCAGGGCTCCTAGAGCTCGCAAAAGTGTGTTTGACACCAAAAAGGGTGTGGCACCTGGGACCACAGCAATCTTTAAGTCAAGACCACAAATGGGCACTACCATGGCATGTTCTGATTTGAGGGTTCCCTGATTGCCAAACCGGAAAGTTACATCACAAGGACATCTTCGGATTTTCCCTCGAACATCAGCATGAACACTTCGTAAAAAACTTGGTACAAAATCACTTCCCATCACGGTCTTTGTGGCTCCCGTGTCCAGGATCCCCCAGGTATCGTGGGTAGCGAAAAGTACCTCAGCTGGTGCATTGGTGACCTCAGGCATCGGGCTCTTCGGCTCCTGTACCCTAGGTGCTACTGGATTGTCCAAAATGGACTGGCTCTCACTACGGCTGCAAAACGGACTGGAACACTCGGCCCTAGAGATCGGCTTTCTGTACACGGATGCATTGTTATTCCCTCTGGGCGGTTCATGCGACGACTGCAATCGGCTCTCAATCCTGTTCACCAGGGATGCCACTTTTGAATTAATCCCCCTATTACCCTTAATATGGTTCCTAATTCTTTCCCTGACATCCTTCATGTTTTGAGGATTTCTATGAACTGATGTGGCTTCGGCGGCATGAAAAAAACCATACTGTACACTGCAAAACTTTTGTGTTCCATCAAAGTCCTGTGTTGGCGGTGACACTTCGGGAAGGTTCATGAACTCGGCAGACATCACATCGCTGGCAAAGGTCGATGTTACTCCCATGGAGAGAGTCACTGGGGCCGTCGATGCAGTTGAGCTATTCGAAGGCTGCGATCGATTCGGACACTCACTCTTCCAATGGCCTTTACGGCCGCAGATACGACAATTGCTTTCAAGGATCCGTTGCTGCAGAGTTTTCCTACCGGTCCAAATTGGCTTGCCCTTTGACTTGCCTTTGGACCCCTTGAATTTTCCTTTGCTGATTGGCCAGAAACCTCGTGCACGATACTTCTCACTCAGTCTCCTCCGAGCCTCCATGTACGTGGAGAAGGCACCTGCGAGATCTTCATCACTTTGGATGATGTCTGTGGCAGCAGATTCGAAGTCTGCCACAAACACCGCATCTTCATCACCCTCATTGGCCAAGCCTTCGATAAACTCGTCCTCCGCAAAGTCATCATGACCTACTGCATGGACATGGTCCTCATGGTCTCCAGGCTGCTCCACATCTTCCACTGACAGAGCTGACTGGTCATATACCTTTGCCTTGACATTCTTTTTCACTCCAGTCATCTCTTGAAAGAAAGAGGTGCCTAGCATCCTGATGGACTCCCGGACCTTGTGCATCGTGAGCTTGCCCTCCAAGGAGTTATCACTGTCAATGATCACTCGTTTTTTGTCCTCAGCTGACAGCAGCGAACCCCTGAGGGTAACGTAAGCTTGAAGATCCTCCAGGCTCACCTTTTGAGCCATCAGTTTCGTCCATAGCACGTCGGCTCGTGCCAGAAAACTATCATGGCTCTCATCACTGAGCTGGTTGCACTGAAAGAGTGCCTTTTCTGCTTCGGCATAACGCTTTTCCAACCCTGTCTTTCCCCAGCGTCCACCTAGCAACTCAATCAGGCGTTTGATTCCTTTCTCGTCATTAACACACAGCTCATTGTGGTGAAGCTGTAACTTGGTGAATGCAGTTCCAGACGTCCCCAAAATCAGACGCGTGATGAGCTCTGCAATCTTGGAAGGTGGCCACACTGAAAAAACCAGTTCAACCTTTTGTTGGTAAAGCTGTAAATCATCCTTGCTTGGATCAAAACTTGGTACCAGAAATGCCAGTTGGCTGGAAATCGTTCCCCCAGTCGTCTCTGACGTCTCTGTTGCCGTTGCACCGTCACTACCTGATGGCATTGCCGCCACTCACAGGTCAGACTGTCCGACCTCCAAAACAGCAGCGAAGCACCTAAGGTAGCACCCTGGATGCCCCTGACAAAGTGTCAGGGGCTCCGCTACCAATGTAAATGGGATATCACCCAAACCAGAAACTGAAAGTAGTAGTCCCTGCCACTGACAACCAACGAAACTGCGGCCTCGCAGAATCCCTTTTGCACCTCTTGCACCAAGCAGACACCGCTGCTAGATCCGGCCGTCCACGGCCACTGCAAGCCCAGCCGAATGGCTTCAAGGATGTTAAACCCTCCCACCTCTGCGCCTAAATGGGCATCCTGAGCCCAAAAATCCTGCGGTGTTGGTACCGCTCGAAGACTGGCCTGGAAGAGACCCGGGCATATGCTGGCGAAATGAGTGGATTCACAATATGTATATATATATATATACGTATGTATATATATATATAGATAGTATAAGTACACATGTATGTGAGATTTCCGCAAATTTCTTCCCTACTCAAGGCATTTGCGGCCAGAGAGCCCGCAAAGCCGTGTGAGTTTGTCACCACGCTTTTTGTCACTTCTTACGGAAGGACAGGGCGCTCAGCAACTTCTGGGTGCTGATTTCCAGCGGTTTTTTTCACCCTTGATTCATGTCTGCGTCAAGTTACATGGTTTATTTTCTGAATTGCCGGGGATGCATGGTCATCCCCTCATTTCTCATCATTGTACCGAATGAGATAATCGTCTATTCATTCATTGGAGAATTTCATGGAATTTCTATTCATGAGATGACCAGGGACTCCACAATAATGTTGGCTATTACCCATTAAATTCAAAACAATATTCCAATATATTCCAATATATACCTATGTTCTATCTCAGTATTGTTGAGGAAATCCGCCATTCGTCCCATTTTTCACGAGTTAAATTTCCATTAAAATTCACATCATATATATATATATACACACACACACCTCTCTCTCTCTCTCATATATAGACATATATACGCAGTATATGTATATAATTGTATATATGTATATACAGACACACCATTATTGTTGGTTGAAGCCATGAATTCCACTGGTTCCCAGCGCAGGAGGGACTGGTGAGGGTCTCCTTCGTCGTGCCTTTGATGAGACCCAGCGTCGCGCCTATGTGAACTGGGAGAAGAAGCCCTGGATGTCGCTGGGACCGATTAATGTGGGACAATACTGAGGTGGAATTCCAAAGACTTTGGATCGATTTCTTTTAGAACTTCAAAGAGCGTGGTTAATATACTGTTAATGATGATGGTTAATGATGATGGTTAATGATGATGGTTATTATATGAACAACAGAAATAGTTTTGACATTGCTCTGTTTTGGGAAATGGGTCCATTTGAAACAAAGGTCGCAAGAAGAGAACTGGCTGGCAGCCGAGCGCAGCTTTGTTAGAGTCACAGTTCAATGTGCAGGTGCGGAGAGGTGAAACACAAAGTCACAATGACCACTACCATAATCACCAATAGAAGGAACCAATTAGCCAATGTTGCAGCTCATGTTCATTCTTTTGGTATGTATATATATATATATGGCAGTGTGTCAAAACCAATAGTACCCCTTCTGTTCACATCAAAATCACTGGGATTTATGGATGTTCATCCCCCTAAAAATGGTATTTATAGGTATTGATCCATAGCCATGTGGTAAACCAAATGCCGTGAACCATCCCCGGCCCCCAAAAAGTATCTCCCTATGGAAGGATGTTCCCAATCACCAGATATTCATTCTTTTGGTATGTATATATATATATTTGCAGTTTACTTCTTCCTGTTGAAGAGTAGACCATTCTGTCTGCACCCGAACATGGACAGGTCAGCAGGGCACTTTTTTGGATTTTGAGGGCATTTTGACACCATTCGGAGGGTTGTCTAAGTCATGGGGGTACCCCAAATCATCCAAGTCATTAGACGATTTTAGTCAATTTTAGTATTGAAACCCATGATATTGGGATCCCTCAATTTTAAGAAACCAGAAATTTCTCGATGTCACATTCCAGATGTCCAGTGCAGGTGAACGCAGTGTTGAAGTGCCTGCCCAGAAGTTCTCCATACATCAAGCACGGCAACTTCTAGCTGTACCCGGTGAAGGTCGCCTAGTGAAAGATATGAATGATGCCGGAGTTGACAGCCCCTTCAAGGAGACGACGGCGAGGACGGACATGAGTGTCCCCATGAGTGGAAAATCAGAAAACCACGGATTGGACGACAAAGCTTCGACCAAAATGGATCCAGATCGATCTGCCAGTGGCACAAGCTTCGCCAGTTGCGAAGAACTCGGTGTGAGTTTTCCATCTCCAGGTGAAGGAACAAAATCAGTGGCTCTTCCAGTGGCAGAGACCACCCAGCTTGAAACGACTGGAGTTGCTGTTGCTGGTTGGTGCTTTTCAGATATTTTTCTTCATTTTCCCACTGCGTTTGGAAAGATTAGGGTCACACAAAATTGACTTTCGTACGTGTATATTTTGTGTGGACGGCCCAAGCACTAGTGAGGTTAATGAGACGAAGTGTCCGAAGAGTGGAGTTCCTAGAGACTCGTCATTTTCCATTCCAAAGCTGCCCTTGAACTTAGTCCGAAGGTCCACTGGCCAGCATAGTCAGCGCAGCCAGCGCAGCCAGCGCGATGGTGTGCTGTGGCCAGGGACCATCATGGAATTACCGCCGTGGCCAGCACCACCAGAGGGACATCCATTGATTACACCCAGAACAGGCGCCGCAGCTATGCCACGGAAGGCAGCTTGTCTGAAATACTTCATCCAAAAGAATCAAAAGATTCCAGCTCCGTGCGGCCGTGCGGTGCCACCAACTTGATCCTAGGAAGTCTTTTCAATGTGTACGCCCCGCCCAGCAGGCGGCTTCGAGAGCAGACACGGTTTTTTGTGACCCTTTTTCCAAACAGAGCCTGGCCCGTGGTGTTTCTTTTCCCATTTTTCCCCGCCAGGCCCATTTATTCCAAGTCCAATTCAATCGCGCAACTTGGAACCAAAGAGTCGGTGCGTCCAACTCTGAAGCATGTGACATTTTCGTCTCTCCGAACATGCTTCGTGATGTTTTTCAAATTTGGACGATCAAGATCCATAAATATGTATTCTAAATTCTAAATATATCTAAATATACTTTGCCACGACAAGTCACAGCAAAGTTACTGCTGGGACAAGTCCGACAACAAGGCCATCTTTGTGGTTCACTCAGGCAGTCCCAGCGTGAGCAGTGAGGAGAGTTTTCTGGATGCTTACGAGAACTGGGACCGGATTGGTTCGTTGCTTGGCAGGGCACAAGGTCTGGTTGCTTCATGCTGAGAGTGATGAATTACTAAGGAAAATTATGTCACGTGAATGATGGTTCTCAGGGATGACTATCCCCAAATGACTTAAGTCAATAAAGTTTGTGAATGATTCATATTCATATCTACTCCAAAAAGTGCTTGCAAGAAGTTTGGCACCCGCAGAGTCATCCACAGTCTAATTTTTATGACTTAACAAGTTGTGGAACTGTTGGTCGCCATATATATGTGTCCAAAACTCTTTCAGGGACACACCAGAGGATTTTCTTTGGCCGTGGGTGTTCGACGCAGTTTTCCTCATGACAGCCATGGCTGATTGTTGGTGAAACCAGCATTTCTGGATCATTTCTAGACCTCAGAGACGACATCGAGATCCATGAGAAATGCCATATCACATTTGTTGGTTGTGTATATAAGCCATATATATATATATTAGGGTGTTGCTCTAACACGTTTTTGGCAGGTCTCTTTAGACCATTGTGTGCTGTTTTTTTTTACAGAACACGAGGAACCCTCTTTACAGAACACGAGATCCTTTTTTACAGAACACGAGACCCTTTTTACAGAACACGAAGGCCCTTTTTACAGAACACGGGAACCCGTTTTACAGAACACGAACCCCCCCAAAGGCTCTAAAGAAAACGTGATAGGGTAACTGCCTAATATATATATATATATATTAACTGCCTAATATATATATATATAGCCATGGAACATGGCCCATTTATAGATGGTTTATATGGTATACCTATTAAAAATGGTGATTTTCCATGGCTATGTTAAATAACCAGATGGTATATATATATATATATACTCACTATACATCCATGCCGTTGCCAAGATCCTGTGGACAAGCCATCCCCCAGCCTTTGTTGGATTACTATCAAACAATCCGGGATTAAGTTGTGGGATAAAAAAGGGGATAAAAAACATCCGGGATTAATTTGTATCCCTATTTTCTAATCCGGGATTAGAAGGGGATATATAATCCGGGATATATAAAAGGGTTTATATCAACCATCTACCAACCTTCCACAGTTGGTGAAATCCCGTTGGGCTCCGAGGATTGAAACAGCCGCATCACAGCAGGAAGTCGTCATGACGGTGCGTAGTGAGAAGGCCTCTGCCGCAAACTCAGGGCCGAAGACGACATGTTCCACCGATTTTTGTTGGGAAACCAAGGTGAATTCCAAGAATTGAGAAGTGAAATCCACGTAAATCCCTTTGGAGGTTTTATTTTTCAGGTGAACTTGCGAAATACCTCACTTTTCTGATCTTTTCAACTGGTGACATCTGGGTACTTGTTTTTGGTGGTGTCAGATCTAAAAATTCTTGTAAAATCTCATTCAACATCCGAAAACTGGTGAATCTCTATTCATTTAAACTTAGAATCACTCCAAATATTTGCCAAAAAGTTGGACGCCTAGGTTTTTTCCTGAGGAAACATTTTCACTTTTCAATCCTGGAAAATACTTTTTGTACTAGTTTTGGGGATCTTTTTGGGTTACTATGGAATGAGTGTTCAGTGATTAGGAGGGATCGCTTCGGACCTTGGATGGTATCCATATCGGAGCCAGTTGGAGCTACAGAGTGTACCAATCGGATCATAGTTTTTCTTCATATTGGCATTCTACTAATCATACTAATCTATTGAGAAAATATGCTATTGGAATCACTAATTTTGCTATACTATTATAGAATACTAATAGATACAAATCATATCATTATGGGATAGCAATAAACAATTTTGCTATTGGAATCACATGGAATCACACCAGGAGATCATGATCATCATCCCATTCCGTAACAATCCCCAATAACCAGTCACTCCCATCACTCCCCTGTCCGAGGACCGAAGCAACTTCAGCCTCTATGGGCTCTACGGAAGTGGGCAAGATGCAGAAGCACGGGTGCTTCGTAAGGCCATGCCTGTCTCTTTTAGATCCTTTGGACTTGACTTTTCTGATCCCAATAGAAGTACAGGGTACAAGAAAAACCTCGTAACTGTGGTAAAAACACCTGGACAATCCTGGACATGGATTCTGCCCAAAGATCCGCTGTCAGGTGATTTGCGATTTGGAGATGCGCTTGCAGGAGACATTTCGAGGGGAAGCAATCAGTCCACCTGGGAAGCAAATTGCCACCCATTGCTGTACTACTGTCGTTACGGGATGGGAAACCCACTAAGAAGACATGTATTCAAAAAGATCGGTAAGATTAATCCCTTTCCCAAAATGCTAGTACTGAAGACCATTTAGTATTGGGTCTATTCATTTTTGGGTGCTTTATTGGGGATATTTCATTCTATGAAGGAGTGAGGGACTATTCCATATCGACACATCCAGGTGGGACATACCATTCGGCAGGAGCAGGAGCAGGAGCTTCAAGCTTGGCGTTGCGGACAAAGGTGTGGGCAGAAATTTTTGTGGATCAGGGCTTATTTTCGATGTTTTTTTTATCCCCCAAACAAAATGGACAAGTACAAACTAGCTGAAATAGTGGTCAGTTAATTACAATTCTATCCTTTTTTGGTGGTTACTAAACATATATATATATATAGAGGTTTTGTGATGTTTACTGTAGACTTCCCTGCAACAATTCTCAGCTGTTGCCCTTGCGGAACATGTTGTTTTTTTTGCCCTGGGCCCTGGGTCGAGTTCAAGTTGCACCTGGCAACTTATGAGCATCGCTCTGCAGGCGTTTTGCCGATTGATACGACACGATACGACACGATACGACACGATACTCGTAGATTGTGACGACTTGCAGTGCTCAGCTGGGTGCTGTGCAACATGTCCCCTTTCACAATGACAGAGTGACATGATATCAGACATGTCTTTGTTTTTTGCCTGCATTCTTCATATTTCTTCATTCCTGGGATGATACGCAGAAGATGCCATCATGAGTGCTGCATGATTTTGATCCCGTGGCGAGTCTTAGGCGTCGGATCCATTTTTTATCCGACAGTGCTGCCAGGCGTGCAAAAAATTCGCCTTGTCGCTTTTCTGGCAGTTGTTTCAAGTTGTTCTTTTGGCGATTCCCCGCAAAAAAGGAGTTGATTGATTGTGAAGAGTGGTTCAAAATTGAAGTCACTCCTGATTTTGTGATGATTTTTGTGATTGTGCTGGACTCGGGGATATCCCACAACAAAATCGACCAAAGCTCTTCTGATCTCGCTAAAGGCGGGTGAAGATCAGGAGAGGAGCTGCATACGGAACGCGGCCCTGAGAAACTCACAGGTCATTGTGAAGGTTGATATTGGTCAATATTGGACATTGTGAAGGATAGACCATTGTGAAGGTGAGATCAGTCCAAGGTCTATTGGTTATGACTCATTGACCAATGAGTCCAATGGTCTCAGTCAATCTCGGCTGCGTGCTATGAGCTCTTCATTTAAGACATAAGTTTGGCTTCGCTGTCTGACATCAAAAGTGCCGCGAATTCGGAGCACAGCCAAGTGTGCAGAAGTTGCGCCTTCTCTCATTGGCTGTGCTTTGCAGATGTTTCAGGTCTTCCAGTTCCATTGATGCTCTATTTTCCACCCGATTTTCCACCCTTGCGTCTTTGGATGTGGTGTGGCAGTGTTCAACACTTCTACCTGCCCTGTTTTCCGGTGCTCACCATTTCCGGTGCTGTTTTCGCTTCCAAATAGCGGCGGAGCTATGGAGCGGCCTAGGCACATCTCAACTTTCCCCTGGATGGGTTGGGAAATGTCCCATTTTTGGAACTTGCATCTCCAGATGAGATGTTTCTCAGTGTTTCTGTATTCGTGGACTCCGTAGATGTCCCTTTTCCAATTGTCTGATTAATAGATAGGTTAAGTGGACAAATGATGACAAAAGGACATTGTTGAATCCAGAAAAGTCGAATCCCTATTTTTGGTAAGAGTGTAAACCCAGCATTTCTGGGACCATTGGCATCCCCATCTGACGCCAGATTGGGCAAAGCTGCGTCCTTGGGGTCGCTGGGTAGCCTTCCGCAGGCTGGAAAGGCTGGACGCTGAGCTGAAACCGGTTATATATGTAGTTATGAAACAACCAAATCAACATATTACATGTACATATATATATATATATACATAATTGCATGTAAGTAATTATATATATAATTATATATAATGATATATATAATTGTATATATACATATATTTGTAATAATATATATATATATATACATATATATATATACATATATATACATATATATATACATATATATATATACATATATATATATATGTATAGAGCAATATTATGTGATACATATTATACATATGTAGTACACATGTGTAGAGTCTTCTTGAGCCCGCAACTCCGACACATGTTTAGCCCTCCGTGGAAACTCATCGAGGTTGTGACAAAGCGAGGAATCCGGCTGGAGGTCGGGGAGTTTCGGTATGGTTTTCGGTGGCTTAGAAGAGGGGTGAGGGTGGATCCCCAGATGTGTTTTTCCAAGGAGTGAAGATGGTTCACTGGAAAATTGGATGCTTCACCAAATTGCTCACCAATATATATATATATCTATAACTATGTATATATATATATATAGAGATAGATAGTTGTAGGGCTTATATTATATCCCAACTTATGGAGGTTAGAATCCCATAGTTATACCCATAAGACTAACCCCTGGCCTACATCCCCATGTAGACATGACCGCATCCCCAGCTTCGGCGTGGCTTCTCTTTCAGGACCTGTGCAGACCTCGTCTTGGTCGCGGAAGCGTGAAAACCAATGGCCGTAGGGGCCACACATTGGGATGTGAATATCCACGGCTCTAGATGATGATGATGATGATGCTGATGATGCTGGAAAAGATATGACAAAGCCGCTTCGGAACACCAAACAGGAAAAGCATGTTGAAAAGACAGTGTTTCTGGTAGTTGAGATACTCAGCAGATGGGTGGAAACAGGGAAAAACAACAGGTTCTTCAGTGGTTCAGGTTTAAACTGATTTTCCATGATGTTTCCGACGAGAATTTGAAGACCTGTGAAAGAACCTTCTGGATGCTCAATTTTGGCTCTGATCCCAGGTGCTTTTCATAAGCCTTTCGAGGCGGGTTGAAGACTTTCCTGAGATCATTTGTCAATGGAGGACCCAAAGTTATCATCCAAGTTATTGGACAAATTTTCACCACAGAAACGAGTGGTGGAGGAACTCTCGTGGCTTCCAGAGCCCGTTGCGCCAGGTTGCCTACCGAGAAATCGCCGAGCTTAGAAACTTCCGGCGTTTGGAGGAGAAACCAGTTGGATCAGAGGATGATTTTCCCATGAGGAAATAGTGGACATTTCATATATTGGGGATGATGTTTTTACATGTAAAAAAACATCTGCAGTTTCAAAGCCTAAGTTTTCATTGTGGTTGCTGTGTGGGCATCACTTTTCCACCAGACGAAGACGAATTCCGAAGACACATTACACGAAGACGAAATTTGAGCCTTCCCAAACCCTCCCCACCCCACTCTTGGAAACCATGAAACACCCAAACCCCTTTTCATGGTTCGTTTTGACCCTTCAAGGGCAGCCCAAACCCCTCCCCATGCTTCATTTTTAAGCCCCCAAACCCTCCCCACCCCACTCTTGAGAACAATTCAAAGCAGGGTTCGATGTGGGAGAAAAAAAAGGGTTTCCAGATGTTTTTATTGGAAGTCCCAAGATTCTTCTCAATTTTTCCCATGTCATGTGTCAAAAAATGGGAACATCCCTGTCCGCTATGCAAGCGCATAACTCCCATGTCATGTGTTTGAAAAAAAACTAAGTTGATACATAAATCCCATGTCATGTGCAAAAAAAGACTAGGCTAAATCGGCCGCCAAGTCCCGTGTCATTTGCGCCTACTATATATAGTGATTTAACAGTTTGCTATGCAACATCACCATTTTTAATAGGTATCATTTTTTTCTGGGCCATGGTTTCCATAGCAAAGTGGCACAAATTCCCAGGCGTTTCTTCACCTTCCCCGGTTGCCAGAATCTCTTCCTCGAAGCCGATGCGGACCGTTCGGGGGAAATGAGTCGCTGAGTCTCACTTTTGAAAAGGGCTGTGGATGAAGTGGAGGGGATGGGGATTTTACACCAAGGGAAATGGGCACTTGGCCATTGATGCATAAAATTTAACCAAATTTGAATCCACAACGACAGGAATTTGAGCAGTTAGAGTGGATGACTATTTCTGAACTGGAGGTGCCCAAGACTATATCCATTAACTATTTTACCAAATGTAGAGCTACATTTGCTTCGACTCATGAAGACAGTGAAGACAGTGGGGGTCCACCGAAGTCGCCCAGGTTTGGACGAGTTTCGAAATGCTCTACGGAAACCATGGGTGCAAAGGTTGCTTCCTTAGCCGTTGCTCCAGACTGCTCCAGGCTTTTAGGGATACAGTAAAGAAATCGCTGGTAAATTTGGCAGCATGTAAATGGTTTATATACAATAATAATAATAATACTACTAATAATAATTATAATGATAATAATAATTATATATATATACATGTTTATATCATATCCATGGTTAATATCTTCATATCAGTGATTCGTGATGGGATGATGGAACATCCACCGATTCCTCGAGGTCCTTCTCCCTGTTGGGCGTGCAGCCACATCAGGCTGAGGCAGTCGTCCGGAGGGTCCGGACTTGAAAATTTCAGTGATTTTTCCATATTATATATATATAATGTATATAGTGTATACCCAACATATTTTTCCAAGTGGGTATACACTATATTTTCCATATATTTTTCCATATGTTATGTTGGGTATACGCTATATTTTCCATGTATTTTTCCATATTTTTCCGTGGCTCCAGGTCGTTTTCAAGAAAATGAACAGAGCCAATGCAGAGGTTCGAAGCCCTGGTGACCGCTGATCTTGAGGATCATTCTACGCATCCAATCCTTGGTGTTTTGAACATCTCTTATTCTTCTGATTCTTCTTGCAGTAGCTTTGGCTACATTCGCATTCGTTGTATCTACTCCTTACATCTCCAATTTGGAAGTTCACTCAACCTTTCCATCAATTTCATCCTCGAGGTTTACTTGACTAGTTCTGACCCACTGAAAGAACATGGCAACCCCAACTCGGCTGGGTGATGGCTGGTGGAAAAATCTCGCTGTTGGTGCGTCAACTCCTTCGTTGGTGTTTGGATCATCATCATTTCATGGTTCAATGCTGATGCCCACTTCCCAGTTAAAATGATCCTCCAATCATTCCAACCCAGCTATATCTGCCAGATCATTTATTATTCTTATTTCGAATCTCATTTCTCCAAGTCTTATGACTTATCTATCGAAACTATATATTTTAAATCTAAATCCAAATCTAAGTATAAATCCAAGTCCAAACCCAAATCGACATCTAAATTCAAAATTTTCAGCCGAACCGAAGCGACCCATTTTTCTTTTAGATATTTTTTTGCAGCATTTTGATCCCCACAAGGTGAGACTATCATTTTCCCTCATTTCTTTCATAGCCATTTGGTGGGTCATTTGGTCCATTTTGAGACACAGAAAAAGAATCTCGTCTCAATTTATCTCAATTTTCTTGGTTAGTTATATATATATATATATATCATTTCTATAATCCCATCATTAATCCAGTCAATGTTATATCATTTATAATCCCATCATAAATCCCACATCATTTCCCTTTGGTAACTCATGAAGTCCCATCATTTCCCGCAGGAGATCAGCATTGCCGATTTCATCGGTGGTTTGGAGAGCATCCTGGGGACCGATTTGGACGGCCCACCGAGGGACCTGGACGTGTCCTCGCCGGGTCCCAGGATTCCCAGAGGATGAAGGATCCCTGGTTGGTGGTTTGGAACATATATTTTCCCATCAACAATAGGGACTTAACTATGGGTTAATGGGACTTAAGAAATCTTAATATGGACTGAATAGATCTATATACTGATTGGTGGTGACTGGAACATGACTTTTATAAAAAATCCATTTCATATATGGAATGTCATCCGAACCCATTGGGAACTCCATCAACCTGATATTACCATGGATCAATAGAATTCAATTGATGACTTGTGTTGGAATTGGATTTCACGGGAAATTCCATCCTTTTTTTTTTCGGTTGCGATAGATTTTTCAAAGATGTAGCATCATTGGGATTTACCCAATTGAACCTGGGGATTTGACCAAGAAATTCCGGATTTCTGGAGATTTCTGGAGAATTTACCCCAGTTGATTTGGATGGTAAGCTATGCTCACCCCGACCTGTGGGACCTGTGGCCCTCAGGTTAAGCTTCCGCCTCAAGGCAGGTCAGTTTTGGCAATTTCGCTGCAAAAACTGAAGATTTGTGGGAGATTTGTTGCTTCAATGTTGGGATCCTTTGAAATATCGCATGAACATATTCCCCATGGTTGATATAAAATCAACCATCTTATATACCCAATGAAATATCACCATCAAATGGTAAACTATTGAGCGATGTGGTTGACTAGGCCAAGAAGAGAGAGCTTGCAGGCCGGAAAAGCTCAGAGACTGGCGAAGATAAATGGTCAAACCCAAAGAAAGGGGACCCCAACAGATAGGTAAGCAACCCTAAATGGTGGAAAAATGGGTTTATATGTAGATATATACATGTAGCCATATAGGCAACAAAACTTCCCTTATTGATTCAACAAACAAGCCAGAACCATGATTCCAAACTCGGTTTACAAAGTCTAGCGCCTGAAGTTTGATGGTAGATATATCAAGAGTTGGATGAGGTTGTAAACAAACTTACAACTGGGGGGGCCTACCTGCAGATGGTGCCAGGAGACTTTCACTTGGTGCCCCCGGCGACATCAACATCAACCTCCTGTTGACCACGTTTTTTTATACTGCGGTTCTTGATTTAACCAGGTTGCGCCCATTCACCTCGAATTTCCCATGAAATCCCTATTAATTCCAATCCCATTAAGTCCTCAAAAAAATGAACAACTGAAATCCCTTCTCCCCCTTCCCATGAGTTTTTTTTTCCCGCCCCTAGGTGATGGAGCTGAGAACGGTGAAGCGACCGACACCTTCGGTGCAGGCTCTGTTCGCATTGGTGGCTGGTCACTGATGGTGGTTAATGGTGGCAAATGTTCACTAAATGGATGGTTAATGGTCGGTTGGATGGTTAATGAGGTGGTCAATGGATGTGGTTGGTCACATCCTCCTTTTTGTGGGGAACAAATTGGTTGGGCAAATCCTGAAAAACATGATAAACATGTTTCGTGTCGAAAGTGATGTGACCAAAAATAACATGGTTCGGAATTCTTGTCACTTCACCAAGGACTCAAATGCTGCTGCAACGATGCTTCATGTTGGGGAAACGATGAATTCATGGTCTTACTCCACAGGGGATTTATCATAGATCCAGATAGCTGACTCCAGATTGCATATCCAATTTTTTGCAAGATCGGAGTGTGTTGCCATCCACATCTCAAGGTTGAGCCATTCTGCATTCATCACCATTTATCACCATTTATATTGACTCAACATTTATCCACATTTTGGCTGAACCATGTCGTGGATACTTGGCCTTTTTTCACCATAAAACCATCATTTCTTCCTGTTCGAAATGGTCGCTGCACCGGAGGCCAATCGATGCCCGATCTCCACAACCTAGGTTCAAAGGATCAGTGACTTGGCAAAAAAAGTTACCCTCTGGTTATGTCAAAATAGCTGTTGAAAATGGGCCATTTATAGTGGATTTTTCCATTGAACATGGTGATTTTCCATAGTTTTTTGTATGTTTACCAGAGGGTACCGCAACTGTTGTCGCGACGTCGTGGTGGCTGGGTGTCGCGACACGTGGCTGTTGTTGGCTTTCGGCTGGGAGATGCGCTAGGAAACACATCTCCGCAGCGATGGCCGTCTTGTCCCCAACTTCAATCGCAAAGAAAGAGAAGAAGGCCTGCGTGGTACACGTTCAGGTTTGGTGAGTTTTGGTGGTGGTTGAATCCCGATTTATGTTCGACTTGGAGGTTCACCCGGGCTGTTTCATTTGGCTATGGTTGAAATCATCCAGACTGGGATGCTGGCAGTTGTATCTCCATCTTGGCTCACTACACAATGTATCTCCATAGTTGCCCCAGTTTCGTTCTTCTATTTTGGTTGCTTCTGTTCCCAAGGTCAGTAAACAAAATTAAACAAATACATTCCTCTTCATTCCCCGTTCGGACTTGTCGCTGCAGTTTCCATTCTTGTTGGTTAATACTGTCCATTTAACTCGTCTTAATTGGGTCAAGCTTTTTATTGCCATTTTAAGCGGAATATTTACACGTCAGCTAAAACAACCCGCCAGGTTGGAAATGGGCCGAGTAAAAACAGCATTTTCATGTGACTGGCAAGAAGTCAATCATGCGTTTCGCAGTGTTTTTTCATGTTTTTATGTTGTCCATGAAGGTCAATTCTATTGTGATTTAGAATTTTCATTGGGATTTACTGTATATAGTTGACATGTCGGAGTGCGAAAAAGGTTCCTTTTGGGAAGTCAGCGTGCCCAAAACCTCAGCGGCAGCCATTTTTTCCAGTGATCTCTACATCTTCGCTAAGTACGCACCTGTTTTCTTCAACAGGGCTTTTCCAACTACATTTGCATGACGTATGTGCGCACGTGCAAGTGAACGTGCTGTGGCGTAACATCATGGGAGTGCGCAAGTACGTGAACGTTATTGCCCCACCCCACCCCACCCCAAGGAACATATAAAAAAATGCCTAAAACGCTCGGACGGTTTTCAACCCGTAGGCTAAAACAACAACTAGCTGCCAATTTATCGAAGATTATTAACTAATATTTTGAAATATTTACCAACTCCCATATTTTTTCATGAAAATTATACAGGACACCACCCCAATCTTGCTGGTGAAGCCATGTTTTCCCGTGGATTTAAATCAATCTGTTGACCAACCGTTTGCAGCTGGTTTATCCCATTAGTATCAAATTACTTGACATGTTTTAACATGTTTTATAGGTTTCATAGGTACCACTTGGGGGTGCAGTTCCACTTATATCCCAACTTGTGGAGGGCCCAGAATCCCGTAGTTATACCCAGTCATAGCCCCTGGCCTGCACCCCCGTTGGCGGGTTGGTCGTAGAAAAAGCACAGTTACCACTCGATTCTGCGGGGATTTTCTGTTGGGTTTCACAGTTACCACTAGGTACCAATATTTCTAAGATTGGCCATGTCTTTTCTTATGTGGATGGTTGCGAAATCCTGCACCACCTATTTGGGATGGTTGAACCCCAGAATCATGGGATATTTTTGAACCACCTAGAAAAACTGGTGTAGGATCTCGCAACCACTTCGATGTTCCCAAACTATGGATAATTTCCCAATATTTCCCATTACATTCCAACTTGAGGGTAGAATCCGATTTATAGCCATGAGGTTTCCCAAAAGTCATGGGGGTAATTTCAGTTCTCCATGAAAAAAAATGGATTTTCCCTGAGTTTCCCCATCCAGCTTGGGGTACCCCCATGGAAACTGTCAGGATCTTCGGCGGCGAGGATCCAGCAATACAGTGGATGGCTACGCTGATCTGGGGTCACCCACCAGTGTTGGGCGATCGCAGGCCTAGCCTGGGATTCTGCAACCGGAAAGGCAGCTTTTTGAATTTTAAGAGATGATGTTAATGTTAGTCAATGTTAGTTCATCAGTTCTTTTTTAAAGTTTAGCAGCTATTTAAGTTATTTTTTTCTCGGAAGTTACTAATTGTTTTCTTTATATACATATATATATATAATATAATCAATTGTTATTCAAGTTCATGATCATGGTTATTTGACACTTATGGTACTACTCAAAGAGGATGCACAAAAGGTTCAATTATCACAGTTTTAGAATTTGATGGCAACCGTTTCTGCATCTTTTTGGGGGGCTTTCTGTATACGCCAACAACATCCCACAAGAGGTTACAGGATTTTCGAAACTATGAACGGGTTTGAGCCATGATCCACGTTGTTGACCCCTTGTAGTCCAGATCCATGGGTCCTTTTGCATCATAGGTTTTTCAATGATACACATGAATTGAAGTCAGCAAAGCTCGATGCAGCTTTTTGTCAATCATTTTACATCTTCTTACACATTCGAAAGATTTCAAAAGCATGTTCTTACCAAGAGTTTTGAAGACTCTTTGCTGGGTTCCTTTTGGAAATTCCAGGTTTTCTGCCCAAAAAGGCCATTGGGCCATTGGCCTGTAGAATCCACTTGGACGTGTCACAGATGCCAAAGGCATCGAGCAAATCCAATGCTGGTGGCACTAGCTGTTGCCCACCTTGCTGCGGAAAAGGGCTACCAGGTCACCAGTCATTTCCAGCATTTGACCATCATCAATCATCCATTAAAAAAAGGAATTAACGGGATTTAATGGCAATATCAATCCTCCATTTTTTGGGAAATACTACTGGTAGGTCCTCCAATTCTTTCTTTTGGAACATGGTTTTGAGCAAACCAGCCGTTCGTTGATGGCTTCCACCGAGTCGACCCATCCCACCTGTTGAAACATGGTGCATCGCATGATGACATGATGACGGTCCACCGCCAAAATGGGGATACGGAACTCGTAAGACTCGTAAGATGAAGAGATATCCAAGCATGTCCAAGCTATTCTTGACCCAACATCATCAACGCTCCAAGAAGCATCCGACATTTTGCTTTCAAATTAAGTTCTGACTTTGAAAAGCAGCCGCAAGTCAAACCACACAACTGGAGCTCGATAGCAACAGCCATGACAATCGCAATCGGTGCCCCCCCTCCGGCTCTGCTGAGTGCTGAAGAGCTTGAGAATCGAGAGAGGGAAGCAGTCGATGCCTATTGTCCCTTGGCGCTGTGTGCACATGGCGCATGGGATACCCTGCTAATGTCATTGTTGGCGATTTAAGCCACCAGGAAAGGGTAAATTGGCTCGTTTCTAGGGGGGTCATACTGGTTCTGACACTGTGAATGAAGGATGATGGCAGAACCAGTCAAGGGCTGGAATTTGCAGGAGTTCCGCTGAAACTCTATTGATTCTTGCAATAGCTTCACAAATCTCCTATTTACCACTGTTTTGAGGGCCTATTCAACAATTCCATGCAGGAAATACTGAAAAGAATCATCAAACATGCGCAGCAATCGATGATCTATCATGATCTATCTGTAATTGTCATTAATCATGACCCATTGATTCATTGATCATTGGCATAGCCTTTATTTGGTGGTCAATGAATCGGTTGACCGAGGCCGGAAGCATGACATCAAGGGCCTTGTGGAAGACCTGGTGAGTCGATATTTGTTGGACCGACCCAAGGAGACCGACCGAAATGCGAAATGCGAAGTCGGCGAAAGTTGAAACAATCGTTGAATTGAACTGATTGAGGTCGGCATATAGATCCATGTAGGTCCATATAGATCCATATAGATCTATATAGATCCTGATTGAACAGCATATAGGTCCATATAGGTCCATATAGCAAGTACCTCATTTCTGAAGACCTTAGTAACGGTTACTATGCGAATTCTTGGTAAAGCGGTAGCAAGCATTTTTGAAAATGATCCAGCTGAGACCTGATGGAGACGACTGACTCAACAATCAGAATATACCATAATATATCATAATGTGGGTAAAACAATTTCATAAACCATCCCCCAGTCACCACCCAAACCACCATTTCAATAGGTGGTATAAATCTTACCTTTCCCAGTCATGGCTGGTCAAAATGGCATTGTTTTACCCACATTTTCATGATTTTCAAGCTGGTGAAACCCCATGCTGGTGCAGGACATGAGCCCGCATGAGTACTTTGCGCAGCAGTTAAGGCGCCTTGCTGCCGGGGAATATCATGGGAGATGTACATCTGCAACATGGATATGCAACCTGAATTCATATGAATTCATATGACATTCCCTGAAAATTGCGGAACACCTGACAGGGGAAAGCAGCGAATGACCCATTAGTGATGGTTCATCACTTTGATTCACTGGCCAGAACTGAGGGGACCAATCCCCTTGTCGGACACTGTCCAGGCTGGAAATGCTCGCGGGAGACGAGGCCGTTTGTCCAAGTCGAAAGCGTTGGGCTTTGTTGGCATCGACTGGATACATCTTGATGCGTTGACTTTTCGTCCTTTTTCTATCATGTACTCCGACCAAAAAATGTAAAGGTACGATGTGAGCATATGATTGAAAAGATCTATATCAAATATCAGCTATATATCAGCATCAGCTATATATCAGCTATATATCAGCTATATATCAGCTATACATAGCTATAGTATATCACATGCCCTCCGCTACTCAAACATGGCTCGCTGGAAAATTCTCCATTTATTTTGATGATTTTTCCACTTATAAACCTCCATTTTGATCCGTGACTTTCCAGCCATGTTTGATTCTTGTTGATTCTATCCCATTAAAAAATACATAGAATCATAAAATAATGATAAAATCCCCATTACATATATATATATATTATTAATAATATATATATATATTAATATATTTCATAAGCTTTGTATGAAATATCCCATGCAATGTGACAAATCCCTACCATCATCCCAATGAAATCCGCTCAGGCCCATCTGGTCGAGGCTGCCACTAAGGTCGGAAGCGGCGAAGAAAACCGAAGGGACTTTGGGTTTTTTTGGTCGGAATTCAGTGGCCAAAATTTTATAGATGTTACTCATTTGGCTATTTTATATCTGATTTTGTAATTAGAATTGAGTTTTATGGGGAGATGATTTTTTTTTGAGATCTTATGAGATTTCAATGGGGATTCAATGACTATTTAGGGACATCATGATGGGATCTTTCAGGTTCCATGACTTTGCGACATCAAAAAAAGGGGCCCATCCATGACTCCGTGGTCCTGCAGGTGCCTGGCTATGCTTTGCGGCAACTTTTTGAGGCGACCAAGAGGCCTTCGCGCGCATGGTGGAAGGGTTGATGCACTTGTTCCATCTTGTTCCATCTTCATGGGATTAGAATCTGTGAAAAAAAACGGACGAAATGGTCGTTTTGACCATTTTTAGACTCCAAATTTGTGACGAAGTACTGAAGAACTTGTAGCCACGAAGTTGATCTATGGATTTGTTGAGAGGGTGCTTTGGTTCTTAGATCTCTTGAGATTTTCAGCATTTTTCAGCCTCTTGCAGGATTACATCTGAGATTGTTCCAAAGGAGACTATTCGGGTCAGAAGCTCAGCGCTGGCGGTGCGTTGAATCTGCACATGTAGCCAGAACAGATTGTTGAATTTGAGCTGTTACCAACATGTTCTTGTGATGTTGTAAATTCAATAATTCCCAATTCGGAGAATGTCGTGAAGGTCTATGAACCAGCAACTTGATGAAGCTAAGATAAGCTAAGTATGCTGAAAATCCAATCGCAACTTCTTGACCCCGGACTTGGCCTCGGACCTGGACTCGGACTGGACAACCGGACCTGGCGAGGTGATCATCGAGGAAAGTCTCAAGGTCTTGAACTGCGACCGCATTTCCCTCTTTATCTACGACAAGCGGATCGAGATGCCGCTCTGGGCGGAGCTGGTTGTTGGGGCATCTGGGAGTAGAGCCAATCCAGCCTAATGATTTTTATGCAGTCCATAGGATTTGTTAGATAGACATGTTAGAATACTTCATCCATCATAGATCAATATCATCCAATCATTCAAACTAATTCAATGTTTCTATCTACTATAGAAACACATATAGATACAGATGTTTATTTTTAAAGTTAAACATGGATGTCCTTCAGTTATGTTCCGACCATTGTTCCATCATCGTTCAAGACCGCCTAGGTTGGTCTTGAACGCCTCGAACCTGGAACATCCAATTCGTGTAAGGCGCGACGTTTGTGCAACGTCACGTAACGCCTACGTCACGAAGAGCCTCTGTTGATGGGTTATTTTGATGGAGCATCATTGGAAAATTGGGGATAACATCATTTTATACATCTGAAAAAAAATCATGGTTCATCATGATTATTAGGAGCGACATTTTCCATGGAATTTTGATCGAAATTGGGGATCGTTGTTTTGATACATGAGTTACATGATGTTTTTTCTCAGTAGAGGGAAGGGATCGGAGATTTTTTTGGCATTTTTCATGGCTCACCTGGTAACCCCGACTGTTCATTGCATTGGTTCTCCAGGCAACATATTTCCGAGAAAAATTAAGTGTTTTTCTGTCGACTGAGCAACACGTTCGACATGGATTTTCTGGATTATCATGAGTGATTTTCTGGATATTTCTGGTTGCATCTCACTGTGTTTTCTATGAATAAAACTGGATCTATTTCTGGATATGATTTTTTATGTCAAGCCCAGATTTTGATTCAACTTTGTGCCACGTTGAATTTGAGATGTACCATTTTCTGGTTGCATACATTGGGGTGCAGTTCCACACATTTTTGTGGCGTATATTTCACCATACTAGGGATGACAATCCCAACTTCGGTTAGAATCCCGTGGTGATACCCGTTTGAATGACCATGAATGACACCATGAATGACCATTAATAATCCATATTAACATATATTAACATATATTAACCCATGATTTTCCTATAGTTACACCAGTTACACCAGTTATCGCTCCAAGATCCTCCTATTCCTAGGGGCTACCAAGCCAGGCCTGGGCAGGGCATTGCTGGCAAGGTCTTCAACTCGAAGCCGCCAGCCATTGCATTTGACAAAGGTCGTTTTCCAAAGTCATAGTGACAAAATGACATAGTGTTTTCAAAAGAGTTTTTCATGGTTTTCAGGGTTTTTCATGGTTTTCGTGGTTTTCATGGTTTTCATGATGTTTGTCATGGTTTCGAGGATGGTTTCATGAGATTTATTGATGGGATATCTTACCATGAAACACATGGGGATATACCGTAATTTGATATAATTGATACATGATGGTTGGTTGACAACTCAGGTGAGGTATGTTTTTCAAATCAAACTTGCATTTCTCTTTGTAGAATGAACAAGAAGTATGGCTTATCCGATGATCTATGCTTATCCACTTCAAGTTAAATGGATCCAAAGTGCAAAGCGCAAGTGCTTGGATGAAATTGTTCACTGCATTGGTTGAAGGAAATCTTGGTGTTCCCCATCAAACATCGGGGTTTCCTCTAAACTATTCCCTTCGTTACAATGATAGGCGATAGCCGATGACAGCGATAACACAGCCGTTTGCAGGAGTAGTTTGTTGGATTGTGATGGAACAGACTGTGAATATTTTTGCTATTCTACTGTTGAATATTGTGATTTTTTGAATATTTTTTCTCCTTGGTGTTTTTATTTTGCTGCTCAGGCAGACTGTGAATATCGCAGAGACCTAGCTGCATTTCATGCGAAACTGGACATGGCGATGAACAACACAACACAGCAACAACCAACGATGGACAGTCAAAAAGTGGGATGCTAGGGACGACTTGAAGGAATCCTTTTTAATTCTTTCAATCACTTTTCTTGATGAGGATCATATCATATCATCATACATGATGGCCCCCACAGTTATAAGTTGGTTTACATACCATAGCAAAACCCCCATTTACTAGTTCGTTCTATCTACCAGAAACCATAGCTACATAGTTACAGCATCAAAATAAGGCAACTGAACGCTATCGACTGGGGGCCCTAATAGTTACATCTACCATAAACCATAGGTAAACCATCGCTCCATTTTCTCTGCACACTTAGCATTTACCGTAGCTCACATGACTGGCCCAGGACTGCTACAAAGATGCCAGATTCGACCAATCCTTCGAAGCTCGCAGAAACAACAAGTGGACGCTAAATAGAGTAGTGAGAATTCTAAAAGTGACATATATAAAATATAATATATGTATATATATATATCTATCCACACATATCCACTTTGGACTGGAATCATTGGAATCATTTCACTTTTTTTGAACTCAAGTTTGCCTCACACTCAACTTGGAACGGCAAGCAGTGGCACTGCTTCGCCCGAGGACAAAGAGACAGGGTATCTGGGTGGCAGTGACACTACTCTGAGGGTCTTGTGGGTTCTGGCTTCAGAATTTGCACAGTGAAACTTTTCCGGACATCTGACACGACAGTTTGAAAACGTCTGACTAAGCTGGCTTTCCGAAGAAGTTTTTTTTCTCACATCTGACAGACTTTTTCTATCCTTTTCCTTTACCCTCTGTGTAAAAGTTCAGATCTTTGGGGATTTTCACCTGTTTTATTGGACATTTTGTGACGGCATGGCATGGGTCGGCCAGAAAAAGATCCAGGAATCCAGCAGTCTCATGGTACAAAGGTGGGAAATCAAACCATTGAACCATATTAAACCATATTAAACCATATTAAACCATATTAAACCCAGAAAATGATGAAATAAATCCGGCTCATCTTGAGAGCTCCTTTTCTCCTCTTTTTCGAGGTATGTGACTCGGCATTTGTTGGCTTTCCCCATCGTTGACATCGGGGGCAACTGCTTGGGTGTGATCCAAGCCATCAACAAAAACGCTGGAGGCGCAGTCGCATGGTACGTGGAGCCTGAAGGCGTCTATTTGAACACATGGAAGTGTGTGAAATATGTGAAAGCGAAGATGATCCAGTTGAAATATGGGCTGTTGTGACTAGTTGCAACCAGATTTCTGGTCGCAGAATCTGGTTTTTGAGCCTTTGGTGCATCCCAAATGGATGCCCCAACTTGTGGTATGACAGACATGTGCGTACTGCTCAAACATGGTGCAAGCTCCATAGCAATGAATTTAAGGGAGAGAAGAAATAGGATACCAACGGACCCAGCAAAATGTCATTGTCTCTTGTCCTAAGTACAAAACCATCACATTTCTATGTTCCTCAGTTTTGTCAGCTTTGTCACGTTTTTTCCATGATTTTGAGCCACACCCCCATGTGGTCCCTCTGCCCATCATGCCAGCAGGTCAGGGTTTTGGACCTGCGGACGAGATTTTGTTGAGCAATTTGGCGGAGCACGTGTCCGTGGCAGTGCACAATGCAGAGTTCTATCGTGCAGCCATCGTCACCAGCGAACGGGCCAATGTGACTTGGCCAAAATGGATGGATGCTCCAGTTCAAGCGAAACTTATGGCAAGAAAACAAGTTGTATTCTTCTTAGATATTGTTTTGGTAGTTATGGATGTTATTCCAGTGACTCCAGTGTATCAGGATATCCATGACAGATTGCTATCGTTTTGTTCGCCAATTGTACCTGGGTTCACAGAAATGGCTGGCGCTTGCGCGCCTCAGAATTGGAGGAAGAATTGGCTGAAGCTCCAGTCAAAGGGTGCAGTTGAGGGGGAAAAAAGATGAAAAAAGTGGGTATAATCATGGTTGTAAATTGTTGTAACCCCCATAAGTTGTGATATGAGGCCCCTATCACTATGGCGATTTATTTATCAACTTACAACTGGAACTGCACTTCCAAGAACCACTCGTGTTTCTTGAATCCCTGTTTTGGTGTTTGAAACCATCATTTTCCCATCCAAAGGTCAACCTTTTTTCCCGGCAGACCATCCCGCAAACCAAAGACTGCGGCTTTTGACATTGTGCCTAAGCAAAACCCCAATGTGACAGTGGCAAAAACACCTTGCATGTTCACATTTCAATCATTTCAAGACAAACTGGGTGTTCAACTAAGTAAAAACCGTCATTTCCTCAGCAAAAAGCGATTTTGAGAACCAGTGAAACTTCCCTTCTCCCATCAAACATCAAGAAACCACCAGGCTTTCTCCAGCTCATAGCTGTCCATAGGATGCAGCCACTTCCCCCCGTTGTCGGCTGCGAGCAAGGCTTTGCTGCAGATGATGCAGTCCTTGACGCATGATCTTGGTGCTCAATCGCTGGTCCTCTCCGTGGCTTGGTATTGTGAACCACAACGGCGACCTGTTGGGGATCAAAATGACTTAAGAAACCCCCATGGCCCCATAGACTTGTATGATCAATGATGATTTCTGTATATAGTATACAGATGTATACAGTACACCCATATGATCCCACATTATATATACAGTATATACATATATGAACACGGATGGGTTATTGTGACACTATGACATCAATATGATTCATAAGATCTTACGATATCTATGCATCTATGCATCTATGCATCTATGCATCTATGCATCTATGCATCTATGCATCATTATCCCATTCTATATTGATTTATTCGATACTCTTTATCGGACGGTATCATTTTGTCAGCTTGCTGATCCATAAGGCTGGTAGCACCATTGGGTCACACGGAAGGTGATAGCCCTCAAAAAAAGTTGAATCTTTTGGTGAATTTTGGGATATACCCTCTGGAAAAACATAGCCATAGAACATGGCCCATTTATAGATGATTTATCATGATTTACCTATCAATATCATTAATATCATGGTGATTTTCCGGTAGAGGGAGCCCAGATATCAACCATTGCCCCCTCATATCGACCGTCGTCCTCTTGGACACGTTGAGGTTGCGACTCATGCTTCAACACTGGTGCGAGCAGACCGGTGCAGCGTGTTTCTGGTGGATGAGAGGACGGTTTCCCCAGTGGTCGTCCCCCAGGTCTGAAATATTCTGACCAGCCATGTGAAGAGAAGCCAGACACTTGTTGAATTCTCAAATTTGGAGACGCAATAGTAAACTCTGTAGGTTTAGAGAAATATTCCCTAAATGTTCAAAATGGGTATAAATGAGTTCAGTGGAATGGGTGCAGATTTGACCGCTGCACAAGTCTGGCTCAATCGTGATCACTTCGATTCTCTGTGGGGCCCTTGTCCTTCCATAGCGGCACAGGAAGGTCCCATGACACACTGACGCTACTGCAACGTTTCCATGACACCGTGGCTCACACGAAAAATGCCATGGACATGGATGCCATGGAAGCTCGAATGGCAGCTATGGAAGCTCAGATGGCAGCTATGGAAGCCATGGACACAGATGAAGCTGCCATAGATAACTCCGAGCATCGGACACCAGTCATCATCGACACCGATGTTGACACGGACGACCAGATGGCCATTGCTTTCCTGGCTCAGCCAGATATCAAAGTGCTGGCCATCACGGTGGGTTGCAATGGTTGGTCACAGCAATGGGCAGGTGTGATGAGTATCATAAGGCTAACCAAGTGTTTTGTACACCGACACACAACTGAATCTGCAGGGTGCTACCTAGCCCTTGCAAAGAAAAGTTTGCTTGGCACAGCATAAAGAAAGATGGAGCTTGGACCTGATACATGGCACATCTGGCTGGGGCAGCAGGTGCATGATTGCATCAATGAGCTTCAAAGGCATGGTCTGCATCTCTAGCCTGCCAATCATGGCTTCTTGGCAAAGTGCAAAAATATATTGTGAGGATGGCAAGCAGGATAGCAAGAAGGAGAGCAAGGAGGAGACCCAAGGAGGACAGGAAGGAGCAGAGCAAGGAAGAGAGGGAAGGAGAAGAGCAAGAAGGATTGCAAGGATGCAGGCAAGGAAGCTCAACGAACCCAATGGATTGCCTGATCCCACTCTGCTGACGGGCAAGGGCAACTCCCTCAGTGAGTTTGTCGGTTTACCCTTCAACATCCGACCACCTAGTTGGACGTACACTGGCCAACTGAAGGACACCCTTTGGAGTCACAAGAAGGTGGACATCATTGGGACCTTTGACCAATCTGGCCCATTTCCTGCAAGATTCACCGAGACTTTTCAAATGGAAGGTGAAGCGGATCTACAACTCAGGGGGTACAGTGGTTTCAAGATCCAGCACCCCAACTGACAAAGTGTGGCCTTACTCCGCTCCAGACACCTCTTTTTCCGGAAACCCACCAGATACAGAATGGAACATCTTCAGTGATCCAGTTGCAGCCAACTCGGTCCTCTCCTTCGGGGTCTCCATAGTTCTGGCAACTTCCACCTACACAGATGGCACGCAGTTCTACCTCAATGACACCGATTTCATTCCAGCATCCTGTGACAGCGACAGGGCAGTGTTGACCAAATTGGTGACCACTTTTCCCATGGCAGATGGTGAGGAGCCCTCAGATCTCCGTTACTGGGATGAGTCTGCCATGGTGCGCCATGCGTTCAGATGATCCGAAACGGGGGGAAGGAAGAAGCAGCTGTCTGTACTGAATGGGACAAGAAGCGCTTTTCGGTGATGTTGGAAGCTGGGAACATGCCTCAGTCAGTGGAGGCCAATATTCCTGCCTGTTGGAGAATTTGGACAAGAAGCCATCGAGTGCTTGACAGGAAATCTGACTGAGTTCAAGATAGCATATTTTGAAGGGTTTTGTAGTCGCTAGGGCTTTTCAACCTCGGTCTTCGTGCTAAAAAAGAACTGCACGCCGAAGTGTGTGACCAGATTAGGAGAGGTGTGTGCTTGCACGTATCAACTGCAACTTGCCTTTCGATTTTGGGGTTACTGCGTTGCCTGGTTTGATGGCTGTGAATAAACGTGGCAAATCTTGAGATGTATCGGTGATGAGAACCACGTCATATGGCTAAGATCTACTAAGATCTTCTAAGATCTTCGAAGTTTCCAGCTTTTCTCCTTGGGTTTACGAGACATTTTCCAGCCATTTTCCAGCCATTTTCCAGCCATTTTCCTGCCTTTTCACATCTTCCATCGCCACCCTTCAGAGCTGCCCCCTTTTTGTTCAGGGCTGACGAGTTGATCTCCATCGCCAACGATTCCGGGGTGGAAATCAGGACGCGGCATATCTCCGGGGTCGAGAGCTTGGCTGTTGGAGCTACAGTTATGGGATTTTATATGATTTAATATCCAACAGTAGATATTATATTAATATCAATATTCATATATCAATATTGTAGATTTCATATCATATATTCGTCAATATTCAATATCTACCACCAGTAATCCAACTTTTCGATCTCCGGGATTTATTATAGTATGGTGAAACAGTGAAGGATTTACCTTCCAGTCATGGGACGTATCCATGAAAATAGTGATTCATATTGGTTCGTATCCATGGATAGTGATTTCATAATAGGATGAATATGGGTGATTAATGGATTAGTATGGGATTCTGACCTCAATAGCTCGGGATTTTCAGCCCGAAAAATGATGGTTGTAAAACGTCATGGGACAATGAACTACCTGACTATGATCATCCTGATGAGATGTTTTTTGGTTCATTAATATTAATATGATCCATTAATGAACCATATTCATATGGGTTGAATTAATATGGGATGAACCATATTAATGTTAATATTATCCATTAATAATCATCCCATGGTTCTGATTAACAATGGGATGAATGAATATGGATTACCCTTTGGTAATTTAAAAGTTCGCGAACTGGTATCCATGACCCATTAAAGGTGGTATGTTTCAGTTCGCGAACTGTTGTTTTTCATAGAGGGTAACCACAAAAAATGCTGAGATTTCATGGGATATATCACCAACTGTGTATCAGAAAATGGATGATCAATCCATCTTGGATGATCATCCCTAATTTTTTTCATAGGAATTGACATATTAGTAGGTATGTTAATATACACCCATTATGGCACTGGATTTCCATTTTGGGATGGACGAACTATTCCCAGCATGGAACTTGACCATGCCACTAACATCGGGATGGAGATGACTGGCCATTACTCATTGCTCCAGTGCCAGCCAGTGCCTTTCACTTGCCGTGAGGATTCCGAAATCTCAAGGAATTGCCGGAGAATGTGCAAGTGAGAACAAATTGATCGTAATCGACGATGCGTACCCTTGACAGAGGCAGATTCAGTGGCAGCGGTTAGCATTTTTTGTTGCTGTCGCAGTTCCTTTAAAGGTTTGGCATGACGCAAAGGTACGAAGACGCCAGATTCAACCCTGAATATGATGAAAAGACAGGTGCAATGTGACACTTGGGGACCTGGACCCAATTAAGTCGTCAAGGTCATCACAGTGAGTTGATTTTTGTTGAGCCACTATGAAAATTGGGGTTACTCCATTCAGGGTGCAATGTTGCCACCACTGATCAAAAGGTTGGAAATTCCATGCTTGGTGTTTTAATTTTCAGCCATCATCATCCACTGGGTCAGCTTAAAACCAGGGTAGCTGCGGTCTTGTTGGAATGGGTTTGTCCAGAACTGGGTTACACCACATGTCCCATTTCGGGGATGATGATGATGATGACGATGATGACGATGACGATGATATAACAACTAACATAAATAACAGCACCGATAATAAATAATCACCCATTGGACTGTTTTTTCTTTTTTGCAAACATTTTGGACAATGCCACCAACAAATTGTATAGCAAGGGCGAACAATCGAACATCTTGGGATGGGTGCCATCCCAATGGGGCTTTGTTGAATCCACCAATTGATCACCGTCCTAGACATCTGTGACACCGAAGGCTATCGAACGCACAGCATCATCGCTGTGCCGGTGCGAAAGCCACCGACGAAGGACAAGGCATGTGCAGTGATTCAGATGTGCAAGCCTGAGACGTGCGGGATTCACCCATTGAGGTCAACCGGAATGAACAGATACAGAATCTAACGGATAGATGGTTAATTAATGTGAATTTTCGCCCTTAGTAACATTTTGACCTTAATTCTGCAAATAGACTTAGACAAACCAATGAAAGCAGGTGATACGACATGTAACAGGTGATGTGTTTTTTTTGAGACTTTAGGGCAGCCCCGGGTCGTGACTCAGGATCAACAAACAGGAATTTGATGATGAGATTGGGCGATTCGATGATGAGGACGTGCAGGCGGTGCGTTTTTTCGAACCTTTCGACATACTCAACTTGGATCCTGCTCCAGAAATTTCGACGTAAAAACTTGGCCAGAGACACACCCGAAGAACCAGATATTTGGTTGATAGTTTAATTTTTGAAGGTTCCATCCCAACGAATGGCATGATAATTCTCAATGACGAATTCACATTCTTCAGGGGTTGGTTCAAAACAAATTGGATAAGCTTCACCTCAGCTTAGCCTGATATCCCCGAAATTATTGTATCACTTGACATTCAACAATTATGGCCGTAATGTAGAGGTGAACAGTGGCTGATCCTTGTCAAACACAACTCATGATCATATGGGTTTGTTTGACGAGTACCCTCAGATCCCATGATTCAATGTTACCCTCCAGTAAATTGACACCCTGCCAGATTTCACAATTGGTGATTTCAGGGACAATTGGTGAATTGACCAGAGGGTACGGAAAAGTCTTTTCCCCTTGTCACGGCAATTTTGAGGTCTCCCCGAGTTTCAGACCCATCATGTTGTTGGTTTCAAAATTGGGGAGAAAAATGGAACCATGCATGACATGGGGTTCTGAGAACCATGGTCCAATGGTTAAACATTTTTTTTCGTTATTTCCCCAGTGTTCATCCCCATGTCTTTTTTTGGGTTTCCCATGTATTTGTCAAGAAACCGTGCCGGTTTGCTACACCCCAACGATGATGGTTATAAATCCCGTCAAATCCCATAAATCATCCCAATACAATGCTTTGTTTCCCCAAGTTTTTTACTTGTTGAACTCACCAATTTCCCATGATAGTGATATCCTGCTTCGTAACATTTAGTAACAGTATCAAATTTAACTAGCCATTGGGATATATAATATATAACTAACATTGGGATAGAACTAACCATCGATACAACTAACAGTTGGGGATAAACCAACCCCTACATTTTTTAGGACAAGCCCATGTTTCAGTTAGTTGGCCATATTTCTCACTATATCCCATTACATCCCATTATATCCTATTATATCCCATCCCGATCCCATTACGTTCCCATGTTCCGATATGAATAATTATATCCCATACCGCATAGTTATAGTTGTAGTTAGAGTGACTATATACTTATACGATGATACCCACAAGAATCATACCAATCATAGTTATAGTTGATAAACCATAGTTATATAGTTAAAGGTATAGTTACGGTTGATAAACCGTATTTATATAATGATGCCCACAACAATCATAGTTCTAATTACAGTTGGTTATATGGAGTTATGTAGTTATATAGTTGTAAAGCTATAATGATAGCCATTCCCACAAGAATCCTATCCACAGCCATGTCAGGAACCTAAATTGGAGGTACATATCTACAGAAAATATGGCACAGTCGGGTAACAGGATGGTCGATTCCTTGACATTAGAACCCAGCCTTTGGTTGTTCCCTTCCCATTCACTCGCCTCACCCACGGCTTATGAGATTTCGGAAAAAATCCTCAATCATAAGCTGTGTCTAAGGTCGGCCGTTCATTCGTCCTTCGTCTCGTGGTTCTCTGGATCCTTACCGTCACTCGTCACAACTCCTCCCTCCCCTTTTACTTCGGCCGGAGGCCTCGTTCATGAGGAGTAAGGGGAGTGGTGACGAGTGACGGTAAGGAGCGAGAGAACCACGAGTACCTCCATAGGGTCCTGAAATTTCCATTTAAAATCATAGTTAAAGTTGATGATATAGTTGATTATATATCGTTATATACAGTAGCTACAATGATGGCCATTCCAACCAGCTTATCATAGTCATTACACCGTCATTTCCGTCCACATCCTCATGATTTGATGCTCGCTGGTCCGTCGTTCAGATCCTCGAGACCTATGCCATGTTTGTGGCTACCCAACTGGCGCAGTCCGCCCTGTTGAAACCTGTCACTTGCGAAAGAAAGGGGTGATGACAACTGGACATTTTTTGGCGTGATGGGAACTGGAGGTGTTCGTCACTTTGATAGGCAAACTTCGGGAAAATGGATGAAAATGCGACATGATCCCGTTTGGGCGACCAAATTTCAAGCTGTAGGAAGTGTTATTTCGGACTGGAACATGGATGGCTGCTGGGGAGATGCCAAGAAATTGGCAGCAGAGTTTTGGAGACATGCTGAAGCAGCTGTGAAGAAATGTCACAACAGATGCTGTCATAAACTGTGGCAAATGCAAGTGCAGTGGGCAGTGGTGTGAAAGTTTACTGTGGCAAACTTCGAGCGTATCTAAGGCAAACTCGAAGGCGTGGCATCAATGCGATTGGGTTTTGAAAGGATGATTGCAGATTTCTGGTTACAGTATATTATGGGTATCATGTGGTGAACCCAATCATAAACCATTCCCAATACTGAAGGGGTGGTAAAAATCATCCCAAATGCTTGTGTCTATGACATTGGGTTTTCGCACATTTTTTTTGGTGAAATGGCACAGTTTGTTGAAACTCAGCCAAACTTGTAGGTGCCAATTCCAGTGGCCATAAATGGGGATGAATTTCCCCACTTTCAGACACACCGGAGCATGTCGCCAGCACCCGTTTTTCAAGGGAACAACCAAAGGATGCTGTTTTTATTTTTTGGGGACCTGCACCTACCATACTTTCACACCAAATCATGTATTGATAGTTACGACCCATGTTGAACAGTTTGGTTTCCAAAATGGTTCCATTCGTTGAATCGCAAGGAGGCGCCGAATTTCAACGCAAGGCTGGGCGGAAGACCTGGGTTCAGTCAGGAATGATTGGGGTTCACATCATCTCCATGAATTATCTTATTCTCCCAATGATTGGGGGTTCAGTATTACGCACTGATCATTGGGATAATAAGATACACCCTCCATCCATTGGCAGCACTCATGTATTGCTATCCACATATCCCAGTGATGATCATTCCGCTCACTGGAATATCATGCATAGCTGCATAGTCATAAATCATCATAGTTATCAACATCATAGTTATTAACATGAAATGAATATCCTAAAATCCTAAAGCCAACAATGTCCTAAAGTGCTAACTAGTAAGTTATGTGGTAAAGTTAAAAGTATCTGGCAATATTAGGTACGTTAGACTAGCTATGTGGTCAACTTAAGTCAACCATTCTAATCTACCATTAAGTTATGTGGTTAAACGCTTAAACATATACCGTATCGAGATATCCACAACAGTGAACCACAACGGTTACCACAACTTCCGAGGCAGGGTATCCGTGAGGAGGATGAGGAGTGACCAACTCTCAACTGGGTCTGATGGAGGATGGAAAGCCGGATGAAGATCAAAATTCTGATTTGTATTGAAGATGGATGATAGAGTTGATGAAGAATTAATCTTGAGCTTTGTTTTGTTTCCAAGAAGTTTATGGTGAATTTCAGTGGGATGACTAGCGTATTTTTGGGATAGCGGTTTCAACCACCAGTTGATCGTTGGTTTCGTTGGTTTGGTGCAAAGCAGCTCTCCAAAGAAGAGAAGCATGGGAAAACGTCGCTGACGGCACGGTTTCACAGCTGCTGAAACGTAGCAGCCGAAAAATCGCAGGTCAAAAATGGCCATGGTTTATGTCAAACATGGGAGCCAAAAAATGGTTTAGGTCAAAAATGTAAAGAATCCCCATGAATCCCTTTTTTTGCGCCACATTTCTGTTTTTGGCATTGCTGGACATGCCAAATCCATAGGACCGAGTCCGAGAGTCTGTTGTATAAAAGCGTTTCACGTGGCAAGGGGAAAGACGAAATGGTTTAAAAAAGGCATGGAATTGCCTGGGGTATTTACTTGGAGGATCACCTCACTTAAAAAAGGGGTGGTGAATATGTAACATAATTAATGTAACCATTTTTCATATGGTTTTTATAAGCAATTTATAGATGGGAACCACGATTCATGGGGACGAATCCGATCACCAGGGTTACGGTCCACCACAACCACAATGCGTGCAGCTGCTTTGGCTGCTGCCACATATTCAGATTTAAAGAATGTGGACCAATAGAAAGCACACGTGAACCTATGTGACTCCCAGGTCTAGTTTCTACATGCTTGAATGGTGCGTAGAGGTGGCCACTTCTTTTTTACGCAAAGATGCGATGGCATGGAACGAGATTTGAACTTTTGAGCAACCCAACACTGGTAGCATCTATGGTGATGACCCACGTCGAAGATCTTGCGCGCTGCTCATTTCCCAGTATTTGATGATAAAAACACGTTTATTTTTCAAACCTTCGACAACTCCAGTAACCCAACGAGCATTGCCACACTTCCAGATGATCCGAAGTGACTTTTGCCATGGCCGGTTGGCTCTCTGGATGCCTGGGCGGCTGTCTGGACGCCAGTCGCGTTGTGTCGTGGGGTCTGGGGGCTTTTTTTGGCCATGAGTCCATTGGTAGGACTCAACCAGCATCGGTGGAACACAGGTATTCCCAGATGTTATCCATCTGGTGTTACACATCAATCAGATCCATGGAATCCATGGCCGTGGCAGGAAGGGTGGATTTTTCTGACCCAAAAAATACGATGCTTTTGATGGATCAACCTTCATCAATCAGAGGATGCCGGGATTTTGATGGATCAACCTGGATGTTGGAAGAAAACCGCCAGGACTTTTGTCACGGTCTTCAGCTTTCGGGTTGCGATGACCAGATTTGGCAGGGCTGCCACTCGGACCACAATCAGGGTTTCTGAAGCAGCTTCACAGGGTTCACAGCTCAAGTCACCGAAGATATGCTATATATATATATATGTACACATTTGTGTACATTATATGGTATATGTATATGTATATGTATATATATATATATTTGGGAATTGAAGTTCTCCAAGACCTGTTGAACGCTGAGTTTCCTTCTGCAGGGGCTACAGATGGTGATGCAACATGGAAGTCTGCGAAGTCCAAAGTCCACCATGCCATCCCTCGCTTCCATATCTGCATGTTGGTCCTGGAATTGACGAAATCCCAACGAATTGTTAGTTTTATGATCCCAATGAAATATATATATATATATTTATATTATGACATATCCTATAAGATATCCACATGATATATTATCACGCCCCCATATTTTCATGCCATATTTTCATTGTTGTCTACATATTCTCATGACTTTCCAACACCAAACCAGGGTTTCTACAGGGATTCTTTTCTTTTTTTTCTGGTTAAAACATAGTAATAGAAAACATCACATTTCATGAGTTTCCCTCGATTTTCCATGGATTTTCCATCATATTTTTGTTGGTTAAAAATAAGGCACCAACTTTGCCAAGTCAGTGACTTCAGGTGGCCTCAGTCGCGCCGAAGTGGAGCGATACGGCCGACAGGTGGTTCTACCCAGCTTGGGCCCCGAGGGCCAGAAGAAACTGCTGCGAGGAGCCATTTTTATGGGGGAAAGATGTGGGAAAACCTGGTGGATTTTCTGAGGATTTGAACTGATTTTTTTGGCAGTTTGAAAACCAAGAGAACAATTATTGCGTTTCATGGAGGTTTTCACCCAGAGAAAGAATTTCGTGTCAGATGTACTGTAAAAGGTTTGCTTCAAATCGACTAAAGGATACATCGGATGTTTGATATTCGTATAGAATGGGAGATATAGCCATGCATTTCTGGGGTCTTATGGGGATATTTCATGAAGTCATTAACAAACCATCAGGACATGTCCCCAATACCTTGATTTTGTAACGTGAGGGATTCATCCAAAAGAATATGCAACGAAGATAGAGATTTCACATCATAAAATACATGGATTCAGAACAAATAAGGCCGATCATCTAAATTTCATTACTGGAATCATCCACTGTTTGCTACCCTCCATACACAAAACCATGGAAATCTATGTTTGTTTCTCTTGAACATGACATTCATGGTGGAACCAGTGGAACCATGGCGAGATGGATCCGATCGATCCTGCAGGAAGTGTTCTGATCGTTGGAGCCGGAGGCCTTGGATGTCCTGTGGCGCTGTATCTTGCTGCAGCAGGCGGTGACCTAAGCGGGACGTGGCACCAGATGGGTTTTGTCTCAAGAAGGGGGGGATTAACCATGATTAACCAACACAATTGTTGGTTACTGTATATAATTGTTCATATATGTTTATATGTATATAACATATTATACATGTCTTAGATTTCCATATTATGTAGCCAGCAATTTGAGAAATGAGTTTGTGGGGATTTAGATGGACTCAGCACCGATTTCCTTCAATCTTCATGGGGAAAATGATGATTGGGGCCCCGTGGGAGATGTTGGGCCTATTTTTGGGTTGGCTTGATCCATTTCAGCATGGCACTGCGAGAATTGGGATAGAATTTTGTGCAGATGGGTGTCATGTCCCAGAATTCTAGAATGGGACATTTTGCAAGAGTTCCCTCAAGAAAGCATACAAAAACCCGGGTTTCCTGTCGTCGAGAATGATTTGATATCCAGTCCTGGACCATGCTGAGCCTTATCCACCTCACTGGGACTGATGGAAACTCCATTTGTATCCATTTGTCTGAAAATAGCGTAGCGTGATTTTTTTCGAGTGAATCATCATTTTCCCGGTATAAATCCATGTGAAGCCATTTTCAGACTGAGTCGTTCTGCCAGGTGTAGGTCGCATCGGGCTGGTGGACGCCGACACCGTGGCGCTGAGCAATTTGCATCGCCAGATTGGGCACTTGGCGCGGTCCGTGGGCGTCAACAAGGCCACGTCGTTGGCGAAAGCCTGTCGTGAGCTCAACGCCACGGTGCAGCTGGAGGTGTGTCCACAGAGACTGAGTCGATTGGAAGAGACCGCGGAGCTCATTGCGCGTGGCGATGGCGAAAGGGGGGTCGGTGTTATGGGGATGTGGCCATGGTGTAATGGCCGGATTTCATTGGAGATGTTTGTTTGTGTTCTAATCACCAATAAGATCATGATTGAGGTATGTTCTTTCAGTGAAAACATGGCTTTCATCTGAAGAACTGGAATGATGATGATGCACCATGGCTTTCATTTTTTTCAGGGGAGTGGCTCTACCAGAAACCTCAGAAATGAATAATGGTTTCTGAGAATAGCATTTGCATCTCAAGAGCGAATCTTTACTCATGAAAAACATATGAAAGAACCATTGATCTTTGGTTCATTGGGTTCCAGTAGTGTCGTAGGGATTGGTCGCCGCCGAGGTTACGATTTGGTGGTGGATTGTACTGACGCCCCACCAAGCCGCTACCTCTTGAACGACGGGGCCTTGTGTGCTCAGAGGCCTCTGGTGGCGGCATCTGCTGTCGGGCTTCATGGCTGAAGGATCTGAAGGCCCGGTCAATTTATAGGCCCAGGGAACAACAGATCCTGGTTGCTTTTAGGATACCCGGCCTGGTAAACATACAAAAAGCTATTGAAAATGGCCATAGAAATAGTGGATTTTCCCATTAAAAATGGTGATTTTCCATAGTTATGTTAATTTACCAGAGGGTAATCCTGGTTGTTTTTTCAACCACTTAGCCTGAGCGTCAGATTGAAATGCGGACACTTTGGACACATCTTGTAAACAGATTAGACTAGCACGAATATGAGAAAGTCTACCAGACAATGGGAGCGGCGCGCCAGTACCATGTGTGGTTGGGTCCTGCCGGTTCTGCCCTTCCTTGATGTGGGAACTGAGGTTAAGTGGGCAACTGGCGGTGTACAACTTCGAGGGTGGTCCGTGCCTGCGCTGTGCTGCTCGGCAAACACTGAGGTTGTGATCGCTAAGTGGTTGGTGGTTCCAAAAACATACTTCGTGCCTTTCCGACACTTCCATAAAGTGCAATATCAGCTGACAAGTGTCGAGATGTTCAGGCCACATCCCGTGCACATTCGCTGCTATCCTGACAGATACATCAGATAGATCTGCGATCCATTCTCGCTCACCGAGAAGTGCATATTAGCGATATTGGCCATTAGGAGCTCCAAGAATTGGGTGACTGAAATGTCCCGAAATGTACATTTGGAGCTGACGAAAGCAACTCATAATTTGGCGTGCTTCATGCCAGCCTGTTCTATGGTCATCCATCCCATGGGAATCCCATCTGGATTTGAGGAGACCATCCCCCAACGCAGGGTTTTCATATCAGCATCCAAAATGCGAATCCAACAATCATCAAAATCCATGAGGCATTTCATCTCGGATATCGCTGTTCACCAAATGATAGTTATGATATGTTATGATAGTGATTATAATTATATATATGAAATTATTCATTAGTTATTCACTATCATCACCTATCAACATCACCCAGAACCCATTATCAACAACCATTATTATTAAACCATCATTAAACCATCATTAAACCATCATTAAACCAGTATCATCGACCACATGTTTGCCGTCACCGTTTCGCCCAGCGACCACGCAGGTGTTTCCGGTCTCGCTGGCAGATGCGGAACCAGTGGCCTCCTGTGAAGAGCACGGGGTGCTGGGGCCCATCGTTGGCACAGTGGGATCGCTCGCAGCCTTGGAAGTCATCAAGGTGCCCTGGAGGGGCGGGAGAAATCGCAACAAGTTGGTGGGTTTATAACTCCGATGACTATGGTTTATGATACTTATATATATATATACATATAACTTATAACTATAGTTAATGGATATTAAAGAATGTTAATGGGATTTACATACCAACTTACAACTGGAGGGCCAACCATTGTGGACATTTACGGGTGATTCCAGGCATAATTTCTGTAGTAGAGTACTGCACATCAGACTAAAAGACAGTTTTTTGCAATTTGACCATGACCATGATGATGATGATGATGATGATGATGACGACGATGATGATGACGATGACGATGACGATGACGATGACGATGATGATGATGATGATGATGATGATGATGATGATGAATGATGAATGGTGAATGATGAATGATGAATGATGAATGATGAATGGTGAATGGTGAATGGTGATAGATGATGGATCATGGATGATGGATGATGGATGATTGATGATTGATGATTGATCATTGATGGTTGATGGTTGATGGTTGATGGTTGATGATGATGATGATGATGATGATGATGATGATGGTGATGGTGATGGTGATGGTGATGGTGATGGTGGTGATGATGTTGTTGAGATCAGTTCGGTGCAGGTGCCTGGATCTAAGTCCACTTTCCCACGATCAACCCCAGTTCCTGTGAGTGTTGGCGGCCTGCTGGCGGGTGCCATGGTGCCGTGCCATGCCCAGGTACTGGCCAAAGGTTCAGCGTTGCACAAGTCGTGTCTTCGTGGCAAGCTGCTGCTGTTTGATCCCACCAGCAGTTTGCAGCCGTGCCGCACCGTCAAAATACACAGGCAGGCGGCCTTGCGGCCTTCGTCTTGGCCTGAACGGCCTCTGCGATGATTTGGGGGAGGGTTTCAGGTTCAAAAAACATGGCCCCCCCCCGGGAAATCCTTCCCTACCTGCCACATCTGCCACCCTGAAACCAAGAGACCGTCAGTGCTTCAGGCAAGCGGATTGTGCTGGATGCGCACCCAAAGATGGTGCCGCTCCGCCCATGCCACCGGCTGGCTGTGCAATGCCCCTTCCCAGGGAGGAAATCAGTAGCAGAGCTGCCATTGGATTTTGATCTCGGATACCTTGGCATGTGATGGATTGTACATCCGACATGTCAGGCGTCTCAAGCAAAAACAAATCCCAAATAACAAACGCATTTCTTTTGAATTTCCTTCTTGTAGGATTTATGTACTATATTAGAGAGTGCTCTCACATATCAGCGCAAACTTGGACCAAGTCTCTGAACACCAGAAACGTGACTCAGTGACTACCTGTTGTGTGACTACTCCGCTTCCCGGTTTAACGAGTTCCAAGGTATCTCTCCAATCGAGCTCCACTCGCGGCTGCTGGCGCATCGTCCCACCTTCCTTTTGGATGTGAGGCGGGATCGAGCCGGAGTGAGATGGCAATCTAGTGAGAATATCACCATGATTTCAGCATTCTCCCATTCGAAGCATGATTTTCACCATAAAACCACCAGGCAATTATGTTCATCCCTGTACGAATAGATGAACATCCATGAAATAGCCTTCAGAATGGCTATAACATACCAGTGCCATCCCGTGATTCTCACGGTTCACTGGAACTTGTGGCGATGTTTCGCCACATTGTCCCTACCAAAAAAAGGATATCTATTCAATTATAACTATTCAATTGTATATAACTATTTGATGATCTATAGTAACTATTTTCCAATGGTTATATATGATCATTAGTTGTTGGATTATCCAATAATAATCATCTAAACTATTTGGTTATCTATAGTTATCATCTATAGTCTATAGTCATCATCTATAGTTATAATCCATAGTTATCATCTTTACCCTCGATAACTATCATCTATATGTTATCATCTATTCATCTACAATTATCAACATATACATTATCATCTATTCGTCTTATCTATGGATCATCTAGTCATCCGGGATCTACCATCAACATACATTATCATCTACTAATCGATACTAGTTCATCTATAATTATCATATTAGATCATAACTATAGATATCATACTATAGCTATCATCCATATGTTACCACCTATTCATCTATCATCTATAGTAACTATATGATACCCTCTGGTAATTTAACATAGCTATTGAGAATGGCCATGTATAGTGGACTTACCAACTAAAAATGGTGATTTTCCATAGTTCTGTTAGTTTACCAGAGGGTATCACCATATATTATTGATGGTTAATGATGGTTAAACCAGGTCGTTAATAGTGGATGGTTCACCATTAACTAGTTATCACCCAATAGTTATCATCTATCCAATAGTTATCATGATAACTATCATCTATTCATCTATCATCTATAGGAACTAGTTATCATCCAATAGTTCTGTTAGTTTACCAGAGGGAATATGGTTCCAACAAATTGTTCGAGTAATAGATGGTTGATAATCCTGATTATTAGCTATAGTAACTAGTTATCACCCAATAGTTATCATCTATTCATCTATCATCTATAGTAACTATAATAACCACCATTGATAATTCATAATGATTAATAACCACCATTGATAATGGTTCATAATGATGGTGGTTATCAAAAAGTTACTAATGATGGTTATCGATTTTTCACGGTTAGAAAAAAAGTTCCATGAATGGGATCATCACCAATGATGGTTATCAAAATGATTAATAACCACCATTATAATGGTCACGAAGGGGTAGGATTTAAAACCTAATGAAATTTCATAATCATTATTAATCACCATCATTATAATGGTAGGCTTTTTCATAATTTCACCAATGATGGTTATCATAATGATTAATGATTAATAATAAACCACTATTAGACAACCACCATGAATTCACTACCATCTATTCATCTCTCATCTATAGTAACTAGTTATCATCCAATAGTTACCATCCAATAGTTATAGTAACTATTATTGGGATCATCCACCATTAATAACTATAGATGATAACTATTGGATGATCCCATCCTCCCAGGCAGCGTTCCCACTTCGCGGTCACCCGCCTGGCCTCCGCAGTCAACTGGCCGCTGACGGAGATGAGTCGGGCCACGGAGGTGCCACAGCTCTTTTTGGAGGGAAAATCCATGGGAAATCCCGTGAAAAATGGAGGTTTTCATTGGAAAATCATCTATAAATGGATGATTTTCCATTGCCATGCAGGAAAAAAATCTAGTCATTTTGCGTGAGAAAAATGACAATTCGTGGATTTCACCAGCAAAACCTGGTGAGTTTCCATGTTTTTTTCCAAAAAATATGGGTCAAGCAAGTGGTGATACGTGAAATTGGTCTAAGAGTGTCCGAAAAAAACCAATTTCAGTGGTCAAGGTTTTTTTTAGCAATTCAGTGGTTTCAAGCAACCTAGACAATGAAAATTCAGTAGCAATTCAGTGGTAGAAATTGGTTTACAACCAGGTTATGGCGGAAAAAAAACACGATTGAAATTGGTGGGCCTTCCCCCAAACAGTGGTTTATCCATGAAAATCTGTGGATTCAATTAACACACATTGGGAATGACATTTATGACAGGTCAGTTGGAAAACACAAGTTGCTTCAGGATTGGGTTTTAGATGGATGTGGATGGGACATCCAGTTCAATAGAGCAGTCTTCAAAACCCCTTCTTGATGATTGTGGAATCATGGGGGATTATAGTTATAAGACAATATCTAGTATATAATATATAATATATAAAATAACATATATATATATATTATATGATATTATATTAATATTATATATATATATATACATACTATTGGGGATTCTCATCATCCAAAATCGCTGAAACTATGGAACTTTTATGAGCTTTTGGGGTGAGCTGAACAAATTCTGACCAAACGCAGGAAGAGAAGTTGAAGAAACTCAGCGCTGCCGGTGATTCCTTGGTGGTTTGTGTCTGCCGTCGCGGCAATGACAGCCTGACTGCGACGTAGCTTGGGCGGCAGGGCGAAGGACTCTAGGACCACTATGCAGGGATGTTTGTTGCTTTATATTACCAATCTAAGTACAGACATCACTGACAGAACTATAGAAAATTCAAGTATCCACAATAAACCTCAGTTGTTAGCTACTAAGCAAACTTACCTATCTAAGGGGGCCTTTCCCGTAGTTTCCTTTGATTTTTGGCATTGCGCCTCTTTCAGCTGCGAGCTGATCACTGCAGGTTGCTGTTGCGCGAGGCTGGGATTGTTGCGTTGAATCTGCAGGGAGGTTTGCAGCAACTGATGGCCGTTTCACCCGACTCCCGAGCCTCCCGAGCATCACTTCCTGCACTGACCTGAGCCACTGCCGAAGCAGTTGGAAGGTGCTGGTGGGAACTTTTCCGTGAGATGAGTATGGCTCAAAGTGACCAAATTGCAAGAAATATGTCCAAAACTGAAATGGGTGGAACGATATGTCTAGAGATATGTGCTTTCGCTTGTCGCCACTGAGCCATACCCAGACATACGCAGGATTCCCACTGACCAGATTCCTACCATGGGACAGTGTCGGTTCCAAAACCTGGGTGACTCAGACTCATTGATTGCCGAGAATTGGACGCGTCATCAAAGAAGCTCCGCGGTGACTTCCGGCGAAACTGCGAACGTGTCGGCAAAGGGTCACCTTCCAGGCAGCCATGAGAAACTACGCTGAATCCGCATCGCTCAGACTGACATAGCTTGACTCCCTCCTGAGATTCTTCGATGTTGAAATTTACAATTCGAACATTCAAAGGGTTCGATTTTTTGTCCAGTTACATATTTTGGCATAGATCAGTATTAATTATGTATGTACCATATGTACCACTAGTACAAAGCATATGTGCACTTTGAAATCATGTACGGATAAATTCCAAGCGCTGAGCGCGATGGGTTGATTCCATGGCAGAGATGTCCGAGTCCTGGGGTGCCAGTGGGTACTGGATGGTACTGGGCAATCGGGCAATCCGACCTACGGAAAATCCGGTTAAGTCACCATGTTTAATGGTAAAAGAACGCGAAAGATGGGACATTTTGATGGTGAAGTCTGATGAAAAATGGGGCAAACTCATGAAAAATTGCCGGACTCCCCGTCGGGGACCAGTTTCTTGCGTGCAAATTGCAGGATCCGTGATCCTCCAAATACACATGGTTTCGGTTTTGTAATAGGGGTACCCCAGTTATCATCCTCATCCAGTCGTCATGGATGACCATGACGGATCCTTTTTTGAAAGCCATGGTGCCATGGTGACGACTGGGGTACCCCTATGACTTAGGAAACCTCCACATAGATTTAATATTCCTAAATCGTTTCATCATGGTTCCTAGGTCCTCGTCTGCCTCCCTGCATCTCAAAGTGGAAACCTTACAGCGGAGGTCAGGTCGATGTGAGTCCGGGCGGAGCCATGGTTCGACCAGGACATTTTAAGGGACATTAATGGGGGTTGAACCCATCATTTTATGGGGATAATGTGTATGTATGTATATATAGATATGCACATAATGAGGGCTAATGGTATAACGGTACAACCAGTAAACACCAATAACATATGACATATGTCTTAAACGGAGATTCAGGACCAATTTCGATCTGAAGATCCAGATTTTTCAATCTGATGAGTCTAGATATTTTTTTTGATGTTCACCCATCCTGGAATAGATCAAACATAGGAAACCTATCTAAAATTGAAACTTGGGCGAGGTTCTCACCACTCCAGGACCGCCAAACAGGTAGAGGTCACCAGCGAACTAGCTGATGGTTTCACAGAACGGGTCGAAACAAGATTGCCCTCAATCACACATTGCGATTACCTGTGGACAGCTGACCTTAGCTGGTTGGTCCAAAGCTTTTGTTTGATGCTGTATTTGCAAACGTCGATGTGTGATTGCCAAGAATTTTTTTGTGCGATAGATAATTCAATCAATGAATAGATAGGTACAACAACCCAAAGAAAGATGCGGAACAACACATGCCTACCTTCCAACATATATCAATATAGTGAAGATAAATCAGCCGCAAATCACAACAAATTGCAGGCTGGATGGCTTGCAGAAGGAGGCTGGCGGGGAAGGGCTCTGATCCAGATATCAGGGGTGTTCAATCGCCTTTGATGCTTTGGAACCTAATGACTTACTGGGCTGCAACCTCAGTAGATATGGGGTGAACTATCTCACACCCCTGTCAGTTCGCTTGGAATTGACTGGGATTTTGGGGCCCCGGTACTGACAGAAAGGGTGGTCAAGGTTGGTTGAATTGATGGTTGGAGCTATGGTGTTTACCATTCAAAACTGCAGAATGGATGGACATAATCTGAGTGATGTTTCATCAAACCTGGGGGTTTGGATGCTGGGCAGGTGGTTAATTGCCACGAGGAGGCACAAACACTTCGAGAGTACTTGTCGGAGGCACTGCTGGAACAGTCCGGGACTGGACTTCATGGTGAAAGGTGGACCGGAACCCCAAACATCACTGTTGGATACTGTTGGAATAAATGGGTTGAAGCTGCATTTGGTAATTGCCAACAGATGCTAACAGATGCTAACAGATGCTAACAGATGCGAAACCAGCTGAATCACTTTTTGGAAGCCACTGTCACAGAAGGCATAGCAGTGGGGTTGGAACGAGCAATCGATTGGGATCCCACGATGGCCCCAAATACGAAGCGTTGCAGGTTGGGGCTCTTAGCGTGGCCCTTTTCTCAGCAAAAGTTGGCAAGTCTCGTACCTCTCAGAACTTTGGGATGAATATGTTTTTTCCTCTGGCTGATTGTCCTTACAGGTAAATAATAAGACTCATCCCACTGATTTCGGGATGGATACGATTGCAGTTCTGATTGTGAAGAGCTTTTGCTTGGGACTACATGTGATAGACTGATAGACGGCCAGTCGTTGTGTACCTCTGCCGAAATAGGGGTCGATATCACTCCCAGTCCCCAAAAAGGAGGCTAAAAAAGGTGATTCACAAGGATGTGGTAGTTCGATGATGTTTTCACCATAATTTCCAGATTTATACTGTAACTTTTCTGTCTAAAGGATGGTTGCTATAGAGGCTCCAAAGATTGCCAATATGGGACATTCAAAAGAACTCCTGTTGTACTGGAACAGCAACCAAACTGCTCGCCAGTTTCTGTGTCCGAGAGTAGACCAGTTTCCCATCAATTGCTTAGATTGCTTAGATGTTTCTTAACTGAGGTACATCCCAGTCATCAGGGGTTATAAGCCACTTACAAACTAATCCCTTCCCAGGGTATTATATATATATAATATATATATAATATATATATAATATATATAATATATATATATATATATCGTATACTTGGGACCATAGTATTTAAGGGTGTTTAATCTAAATGGGGGATGGGATCATACTCGCCAATTCCACCAGCGCCGATGGCGCCCTCCTGGCTTTGCAGCGACCCCGCGCCGCCCTTGGAACCGGAGGACGTCGAAAGCCACGTTTTTTTTCTGGGAGATTTGGATGGTGAATGCGAATAGAAGCTGTGGTCCCCAGGGAATTTTATGGGGATATAACTGATATAACCAAGAACTGTGATTTGGGTATGTCTGAAACTGGTGGATTGAAGCTGCAGAACGAACATGAAAAATTGATGTTCACGGGGACAACGATTATTGACCAGTGGATTTTTTTTTGGGGCCCTATTTTCAGACAAAGCCATGATGGCAGCCAGACACAATCGACCCATGTGTGTTCCTTTGTTTCCACATAGCACCGTGCGGGTACCCTCCATGGTACCATCTGGGTTTGTTTGAGAATAGTGTATCCCCAAATCCACTGGGTTCTCATCATTTTCCCATATTTTCATTGGCCCAAAATAGATCGAACAGTGGGAAACCTGGAAATCTCTGAAGCAAATCATATACTTTCAGATCCTAATGGCTTTCACCCTTTCACCCTTTTTTGGGGACGCACGCAGGATGGCCTTGGCATCTATTCTCTCCAGGGCCGCTTCTCCCATGCTCCACAGGTGGAGGAGAGTTGCTGATAGGAGGTGGTGCCCCATAGTTAGCTAAGTTGGTTTGTACCTTCAACTAACCAACTAAAATCAAGTAGATATATCACAGTTATTGGAATGAAAAAAGCAACTCAGCACCAGATGGCACCAGCTTTCTTTACCCCAACCTTTGCTGGTTTTCAGCAATTTTTCGCATGATTCTCACAACATTTTTGCTGTTGGGGAAACAAGTTGTTGACATTTTCAGACAGAACCAGCTTTTCGGTTTCTGCTTCCCTCATCGCCTCGATTTCTGGGGAGTCTAGTATGAACTGAGGGAGGGATTAGTTTGCATTTGCCGGAAAAAAACCTTGACTGGGATAGCAGTTGGGATATATCATAGTTCTAGTGATTCATGTCAATATCCCTTCATATCAATGTAACTATACTATAGCTGATTACTATATACTCCGTCAATATCCATTGGCAAAGTTCACAAATCGAAAAAGGGGGTCTCTATCATACCACAGAGATGGGATCATCCATTATCCATCAATATCCATTAATGTAACAATATATATCAATGTAACAATAGTTGTATCTTTACTCTATATAAACTTATGTAAATATCTTAAATATCTATATCTACTCCATCAACATATCCATTCATTGTCATAGTCCCAGATGAAAAACATGAGCTGAAAAAGGAGCTGCTGATCATGGCCAGGGCCGTTTGGTGCGCTCGAGTGACCATCTACCACGAGGTCTCTCGGCGAAGCCAAACGGCAGCTTCCGCCTTGGCTGCTCTCATTTGGATCAGTCATGATGTCATGTTGGCCGCGCAAAGATCAAGTTTCGCAGAGTTGGGTGGTGTTTCACATGCCAACATATCAACGATTCTACTAAAGATACGTCGAATTGAACTGCTTCATCCCCATGTCATGTTGCTCCCAAATCTTAATCTATTTTTGCCAACATCTCTCCTCCTGTGCCCCAATCTTCCCGTGAAGCTCTCCGAGTCCTGCACTCGCTCGCTCTCCGGATCTGGGTCTGCGCGGAAAGCACGGGAGGAGTTGCCACTGGCGCTGGAAGCCTATAGGCGCGGAGGAGGGGACCGCGGGTTGGTCATGGTGAAAAAACGAAAGCTCCCATGGATTTTACCATCTGATGTGGGTGTCCGACAAATTGCGTTTCTCAAATCAATGCCAGAGGCGGTGTTGAAATCTCGGATTCTGCAAACCATGATGTCATCCTCTTCCCAGTTTGTGAAGAAGTGACACGGACAGTGACATTGGGTACCTTGTATTCGAAGGTTTTGGCTACTGCGCTTTCCGATGACCGTCGTAGGCATAATTTGAAGATCGGTGATCTGTAAGCGGCTACCATGATTCCAAGCCACTTGCGGTCGCCAGCTTTGTAGGCATGAGTTGGTTGCTGGTTTCGAATAGTTCAAACATGTCATAAAAAAATCCATCCACCAAAAATGATGATTAACAACAAGGATGCTCACTGAGATAATCCTAAATGATAAGTTAAGTGACAATGATGATCCATATCTCTTCATATCTAATATAAAATCGAATAATCATAAATGATAAGTGACATGGAACATCATAATATCTGATATAATGATAAGTGCTAATGATTATCCATATCTCTTAATATCATTTAGTGTGATATCAATATTCCATATGATGATTATCAATGATGATTATCAATATCTCATTATCCATATCTCTTAATATCTAATTACTTATCATTATCACTTATCATTTATGATTACATATATTATTATAGTTGTAATGATTACCTATATCTCTTAATATCTAATAAGATAATGATGATTGAAGCAACTCCATCCCTGAGATGAGCCTGAGATATCACCGCAGGCAAGCGCGTAAGGCTGAGGAGCTGCTTCCAGCAATGGACACGGTACGAAGTGTTCTTTCCTGGCACCTGGGATGCCTGGGATGTGAAGATGTGGAGAATTGGCAAATTTAAGGGTTAACTATCTGGGAGAATGGGACTTTATGATGTTTTTTTTTTTTTTTGGGATGATGTAAGAATCCATCCAATGGAACCAGTATTTACAACATACAGATGGGTTTTGTTGATGGGTTGGTAAAATATCAAGTTTTGGTTGAAACATCAACAAGTTACGACCGATCCACTGGAGATACGGCGTAGCATTTTTGAGGCCATCGAAATTGGAGGTAACCTCTGGTAAACATATGAAAAACTATGGAACATCACCATTTTTCATGGGTAAATCCACTACACATCACCATGCTATTAAGGGGTAAATCCATGTAAATCCACTATTTAACTATCACCATTTTCAAGTTCGCAAACTGTTTTTTTTTTACCAGAGGGTATATTCCCTCATCTTCATTTTTGCCAGTCCAGATTACCACGAGCCAAGGTATACTGGTTTGACAATCGGGTATCCGAAAATGCAGTAGTTTATCATCATTTCCCCTGTAAACAGATTACCATATTTTTGGACAAACCCATGCTGGAAATGGTGATGTCAATGATATTTATATGTGTTGTCATTTAAATATATGTGGAGCATTGGACATAGTGATATCTATGTAGAATGTATTTATCTATATATATTCACATGTTCCCATTATAGATACCACTATGTCCCCGTAAAATGGTTGGTTGAACTGTAAAACCCCCCCATGAATCGCTAGTTGCCGTTACCATCATGGGCAGCCCGCCCTGGCCGAGTTCAACGGGTGGCCCGAGGTACAACCACACCGTGCGCTTGGCCGTGTCTAAGACTTCATGGCCCAGGCAGAAACGACATGGAAAATCCCCGATTTCTCTGATTTCAACGGATGACAATGGCAGTTTTATAGGGTTGTATATTGTATAATTATGGTTTAATCAGGTCAATTTCTAGGACTAGTAAAATAATGAGATCACAATTGGATCACAATGAGATGATAGGATATTAATGGATATACCCTCTGGTGTTCAAACGTGGCTGGAAATTTCCATTTTCTTCAATCGAGGTTTATAGCTAGGCGACCTGGATTGGAACTGTGAAACTGGCTTTTGCCATGGAGAACCAGCAGGTTTTCATTCAACCATTGCAAAACAGTTCCGCAGGGACAATTGGCTAGGCGCTTTTTGATACACGTGAAAACTTTGGACATATAACCTGTATACGCCAGCAATGTAAGCAACGACATTGGAAATAGAGCCAGCGGCCCTCGAGCAAGCAGCAACCATCTGACATATCACCAGGATTGCGAAGGATACTATCAAATAATAAGAATCTCAGCAAGACCCAAACGATTCGAGTTCATGTTTCTTTTGCCTGAGATGTTTTACCGTTTTACCATTCGGGGCTGGTACATGTGCATATTTAATTGATTCTCGACTGACCTCCATGATTTGATTTGTCTGACCATCCAAAAAAGTCAGATTGAGGACTTTACACGATCCATAGCCTGCTGATACCCAACAATGCCCAATGGTATCCATTCTTTCAATGGGAATTTCAGGATCCTAAAATGGAGGTACTGTACCATATAAGGCCTTATTTTGTAGGGATATTCCCTTACATAGGCCTTATATAGGCCTTATATATGGTAGGTACCTTCATTTTAGGATCCTGAAATTCCCATTGAATTCTTGTTGGTAAATCCCATAGAGATTCGTATCTGATTGGATGATCACCCTATGGGTTTTCCCATGAAAAAATCTCCCCGTGGATCGTCTGCCTTAGGTGGTGATTGGTAGAACATCAATTGATCTTTGGCGAATCCCAGAATCGCATGATTATTGTCTCAATATCCTCATCACATGTCAATTATTGAAGCATTATGAGCCATTATCATTAAACCAGTATCATAAACCATCGATCATTAAACCATCATCATCATCATCATCATCATCAACCAT